AATATTTGCTTTTGTTACAACACTTTTCACGTTCTGTTATTTGTTTTTTGTTTCTCCCAGTTGGCTGGCAGTCTATAAAATCCGGCTTAAGCCTCGTGCTACCTGTGATATGTATGAAATTTTTGCTGCCGCACACACACAGACAGAAATACAAAAAAAAGTAGGTCGCACGCATTGGGCTTGGCTAAGAGCAATGTGGAAAGCTTCAGCTGGTGCTTGTGGCTTTGCCGACGGCTTCTGCCACTGGTAAACACTCAAATCCAATTAAATTTAATACGACTTACTTGCCTCTGACTGTGAGTGTGTGCGAGAGTGTCTGTGTGTGTGTCTCTGTGTGTCGTATGTGCCTGCAGTTCGTTTGTCATTTGCTTTGCGCTTTCTCTGTTTCCCCCCGCTTTTCATTTTGTTTGTTTTCATTTTTCTGCATTGGTTTTTCCTTTACTTTTTTGTGTTTTTAAATGTTTTCATTTCATGCTTTCATTTGGCTTACCTGCTTGGCTTAATTAAAGCTTAATTCCTCAAATAACATTTGATGCCACAAAATGAGCTCAAACAAACTAATTTGAGCGTGGTGTGTGTATAAATAAAACTATATATATATCTATATATACACAGAAAAGTGTATATATACAGCTAGAAGAGTGTGTTAAGTCTGCTTTGCCTGCTCAATAAATCAGTCCGTTGATCAGCCAGCTCAATTAAAACCTCTCTGCATATCTAACCATGTCTCAATACAGAACATTTTAATTTATGCAACAATTTCCTTGCCATTGTCTGAGCCAACAGCCAGCCATTTGTCATAGACACTTTGCAGGCACTGTATGCAGTCGATGCATCAGAAGTGTGTCATATGCAAAGCAGCACACTGCTGTCGAGATTTTATTTGTGGTTTAATAGTACTTGAAGCAACTTATCCGAGGGCAGAGATATTTTTATAAGAATGGAAAAATTGCTTAAGCCTGAAGTGCGCAAGGTTTGTCAATGAAATTATTATTTAAAATGTTTATTATATTTATTATATATTTTGCAGTTGAACCCGTTTTGTAATATTTGTGTGAAAATATTGAAAAATGCAGAAGCAATTCAACTTTTGCATTAACTATTCCGGTGAGACGTTGAAGAGGTCGAGTAGAGTGCTGTGCGAAGGTGCTCCCTGACTTCCTTTATTTATGCATAGTTATAAACTAGAATTTTGTGAAAAAGTATCTCAACTATACTAACACTTGCATTTGCACCCTACTATTAGCTTAGGTATGATTTGATTTGAGTCCTAGCATCATAAAAATTCTTTAATCAATTTCTACAACTTATGAGTTCAAGTAGTCTCTCAATGTTCAATTATTTATCAAAAATTTTACTCTATATAATTTTCATATCTTCAATATTTATTAGCCAACAGCTTCTAAATCTTTCTATAAGCCATCGTCTGCACTTTAAGTCGAAACATTGTGCATAAGCTCTTGAAATATTGGAAACATAATGCTTTTAGCTGGCAATTAAGAAAATTGGCCACAGGCAGCGCTTGTTTTAATTAGCCAATTGTTTGGCCTTAACACCTAACTACAAATACGTTCGTACACGTAATAGATTGTAAATATTTGACACCGGGCTTTGCCCCCGCCCACCCAATCCACTCAGCAAACCGCCAACAAACTGTGCGCTATTGTTGTGGCCTTAATCCAACAACAATAGCAACAACAACAACAGCAACAACAGCAACAAATACTCCACTCAATTTACAACTTGGCATCGTCAAGTTCAAGCCATGGAAAACAGTTTAGGGGCGGGGACACACCCCTTTTCCGGGTGGTTCAAGTTGAGTTCTTCAATTACTTTTTGCACGATTTGATTTTACATTTAACGATTTTTCGCACTTAATTAGAAACGAGTGTCGATGTCAGTGGCAGGTCGCGCGAGCTCTCACTCTCTCTCTCTCTCTCTCACCCTCTCTCTCTCTTTCTCTCTCTGGCATGATTTGATTAAATGTGAAGATGAATTTTAATTAAAATCTTTGCGCAACACCAACTTTCAAGGAAAACTCACACCATTTCGGCCGTCGCCCTCAACCGCTGTTGTGTGGTACAATTTTTGACACTGTCGACGGCGACGCTGGCCAGAAAAGGGGTTTTGGGGCTCTTAATAGAGCAATAAAGCCGCAAGTTCAGGGCGAAGGATAGCTGGTCCACTGTGGGCTTAGTCATTGCCATGACGTTCGGCTTTTAATTTATGCAAAATGAAAATTAAAGAGCGCCGCCGCAGAACAACTTTTCGTATCGCTTCTGCCCGCATATTTATGCAAATGACGCTCTAAATGAATTTTCGAAACTACTTACGAGTAATTTGCCTCAGTCACAGCCTCCGACTGGGCGATCAATTTCAATTAAAGTCGTGAGCAGAACATTAAAGGCACATCCCATCCGAAGCTTAGCAAATAATTTGTGCATTATTTCAGAGCAAACGAATCGCAAACAATGCCGCATTTTCTTTTGTCAATGCAAATACACAGAGCAGGCACAACTTTTACGAAAGTTTATGGAAAAACAAAACACCGAATGCAAAAGGAAAATATGAAAATAAAAACACGGCCAAAACTCTACACACATTTGCTGGCAGTCACGTGCAGTAGGCGATGCTCAGAACTTAGGCTTTGATTGGCTATAAGATACTCTATAATAAAATTAGGCTTAATCACATTATAGTCGTTGTCTGTACTAAACTATTTCAAACGGTCTAATTGTTATATCAAGTAAATCAATTTATCGATTCTTATCATTATCAATATAAAATTGCTTACGATTTAAATTGGAAGCTAAAAAGTCTTCTATAGCTGGTTGCTGCTTTATGATCTTTCCGCTTTAAAAATATCGTTCTCTTGACGGCAAGCCTAATACTTGAGACAAATTTATCGATTTATCGATTTTTCACTATCTAAATGACACTCCCTTTGGTGAAGCTCTGGTAGAGTTGAGTTCTGTGCGTCTCTTGCTCCAACCTTTGCTCTCTAATATTCGCTCGAATCTGAGAGTTAACATTATGCTTTATGATTTCTTTCTATTTATCGATCAATTTATCTATTTATATTCCCTAAGTTGTCTCCCTCTACCGTCAAAATTGAAACTATTTATAAAGCTTTTACTCATTTAGCCAGTCATGTCGCAGTTTCATAATAAATCTATTCATCGATAGTGTTATCGATTTGTCAACACTTTCGTTATCTAAAAAGTTATTACTAATCTGTAACTAAATTGTCAAAATGATGCCTTGCCTTGCTTGCCTTACGATTACTCTCAATTTCACTTCACCTTTGATAAGCAATTTATCGATTTACCAACGTCTGTTTACCGATCGATGCTGGCCTAGGCTCTTCTCTTAGCTATAACTTGTAAATTCCTGTAGTACGCCATTCAAATCAAAACTCACTTCCCTCTCATATTAAGCACACATCTAACACAGCCCTTGGCTCTTTTCCGTGCAGGATATCAAAACTTTTCCACACTGTGGCTTAGTTTCTGGGCACGGAAAAGTGGGGGGAAAATGACTGTCGCGTCCAATGGGCCATTCAAAAATTACGAGCCAACAGTTTCCGCAGTGTTTTTTGTCATTTCCATGCGCTCATTGTCAGTTTTAAGTAAGCAACTTTCCCCTTTTGTTGTTGTTGCTGTTATTTTGACTGCATGTCCTGCTTTATTGTAGTTGTTGCTGTTGCTGTTGCAGCAGCCGGCAAAAGTTGTTGGCCAAAACTGCCTACAAATGCAGACAAATATGGAAAAGCGCATGAAATGCAATAAATTTTCAAATATATTTTGTGTGCGCGACAGAAAAAGTAGACAGCTTGTTTTTATTTCTTTTATTAACTCAGCTACCCTGTGCACAAGAATAGGATGGGTGTATTAGAAGGTAGAGACTTTTCGGGAATTTATCTCTTCAGAAATCATGTGAGAGAAACTTTATTCCACGTCTTTTTATGAAGTTATTCAGTTAAGTATTTTGTCTAATCTGTTAGGTCTGCTTATAAAAATTTGTAGATCACAATTTACAGGGTATTTGCGTGTGTATATTGCCCGTTTCTTTTCATGACACAGTTTAGAGCTTATTAGATTTGCAGCACTTCACTTTAGCTACTTATGAGATTTCCGCCTAAGCACATTAAGAGCTCAGCTTTAATGCTGTCTACATCTAATTGCAAGACACATTTTACAGGGTATTATGTATAGACGAGTCATTCGGTTTTTTTGTTTTTTTATTTTTGCTGCACCACAAACTGATAAAGTTTGAAGGAAAACAATAACTGAACAAAGTCAAAGGCAATATATAAATCAATGTTTGGCTTGTTGCGCAAGTCTCACGTGACAAATTTACGAGCGACTTGAACTGGCGATAGACAACAGAAGAGGCGTGACTCTCAGATTTTTGCAATACTTATCGGACATGCAGTCAATAAATCTTCAAGACTTATTCAAAATATTTTAAATGAAGGGAAAACCAAAGACGGGTTTATCGGCCAGCGCGAGAGCAGCAAGACAAGAAAAAGAAAGTCGAAAAAGGTAAAGAAAGTAATTAAGAGTCTACAAGGGTAGATTCTGTATTAGCAAACCTAATATAGACCTCTAACAGCAAGGAACTGCAACTCGAGAAACTTGTGTAAAATGTCATTGAGTAAGCAAGCATCAGACTACACTTTCTCGCGCTCAGATCTTAGCTGGAATCACAATTTGTATATGAATCCAAACGACTCCACTTCAGCTCTAGTTTACGAAATTGCGTGATGTTTGTTATCGTAAATGCTCGATTGTCATCAAACTTGTATGTATTATAAATTATGAGAGATTTTCCAATGAAATGTAGTCGAGCATTTGACATAATACAGAAGCGGCGCGTTCGATAAGACTGATAAGATTTTCATTCTGATCGGCTAATGTCTTTTATCAATCGACTTAAGTCGCGGGCGTTGCGCATACGTCAAGTGGTCCGACTGCTACTATATAAAGAAAACAGCTGCGGCATTACACATTACTAGGCGCTTTGAGCCGGAACGGAACGGAGCCAGCCGAATAAGAACAACAAAAACAAACATAAAATAATGTTTCTTAAAACTTGTCTGCTGCTGTTAGTGTGCGGCGTCGCTGCGCTGTCCGCCCACAGCTACGATGGGTAAGTTGAAAGGGGGGGCGTGGCATGTTGCCGCATTGTGTGTCAGCTAATGAACAACTAATTTGCTTACTCCAACCAGCTACAAGATCTACGACGTCTACGCGCGCAACAACTTTGAGAAGCAGCTGCTGCTGCGTCTGGCCAGCAATGAGGATTATGATTTCTTCGATATGCCACGTGCCTTGGATGCGGCTACACGTGTTATGTTGCAGCCAAATGATCAGCCCACGTTTGAGCAGCTGCTGCAACGTTTCGGTGTCAACTTTATGGTGATCGATGAGAATTTGGGCCAAACGCTGCAGAAGGAGCAACTGGACAACCAGAACCAGCGTCTGATGGCTCAGCGGGATGCGACGCGCAGCATCAGCTTCACTGCCTTCCATCGCCATGCCGAAATCAATGCTTACTTGGATGAGCTGGCCAAGGCCTATCCCAGCCGCGTCACTGTCCAATCGGCCGGCAAATCATATGAGAATCGCGACCTGAAGACCATCACCATCAGCAATGGCGATGGCAAGAGCGGCAAGAATGTGATCTTCCTGGATGCTGGTATACATGCGCGCGAATGGATTGCGCCCGCTGGTGCGCTGTATGTCATCTATCAGCTGGTGGAGAACTTTGCGGCCAACGCTGATCTGCTGAAGAACTACGATTGGGTCATTCTGCCCGTGGTCAATCCCGATGGCTATGAATACACCCACACCAGCTCCCGCATGTGGCGCAAGACCCGCAAGCCAGTTGGCTCCTCTTGCTATGGCACCGACGGCAATCGCAACTTCGACTTCCATTGGGGTGAGGTGGGCGCGTCCAGCTTCTCGTGCGCCGACACATACAAGGGCACGACTGCCTTCTCCGAGCCAGAGACGCAAATCGTACGCGATTTGCTGCTCAACCTCACGGGCCGTGGCAAATTCTATCTGACGCTGCATTCGTATGGCAACTACTTGCTCTATCCATGGGGCTGGACATCGTGAGTGAATCAAGTACGTCAGGCAGCTAAGATTTTAAGTTTGATTTCCTATATATTTTTTAGTGATCTGCCCAGTGACTGGCGCGCACATGATGATGTGGCTCAAGCTGGCGCCGCTGCCATTCAAAAGTCCACGGGCACCAAATACACAGTGGGCAGCTCGACGAATGTGCTCTATGCCGCCGCCGGTGGCAGCGATGATTATGCCTTCGGCGTGGCCAAGTTCCCTGTTTCCGTGACCATGGAACTGCCCGCTGGCGGATCTGGCTTCAATCCCAGCACAGCACAGATACTGCCCTTCGTGACCGAGACCTGGACGGGCATTCGTGCCATGGCCGAGAAGGTAATTCAGAAGTATTAAGAGCCCAAATGCAGCAAATAAAGCCAGCTATGTTTAATATCTGACAAATATACAAACCTGTGTGTATGTGTGTAAAGTTCCATTTGAATTGTTGATAAGTGCCACCCATGGAGCATGGCATCAATGGAACTGCGATGACATACTTGGCCCGAATGCCTGCTGTGCGTTGCGTGCTCACACTTCAAGTTATCGCCAGCAATTAACTGGGCTTATTCAAGTGTTGCTTAAAGCACCTTGGACAATTAACTTGTCTAGCTAAATTATATATATATATATATATATATATATATATAATTGCATTCGCTTAGCTTCTATTATCCCCACTGTAACTTTATTCTATGCCACAAGCTGCACAACTCTACTCGTTTCTCGTTTTATATACAGAAATAGACAAAGACAAAGACTTCAATTGAGTGGATACTTTTCAACCACCTTCTGAGCCATGGCCACAATGCCCACCCAGGTTTCTTTGACCAGCCTATCAATGTCCTCAGGAGGCGGATTGAAATAGTTGTCTCCACCGGCGGGCAGTTCCATGGTAAATGATATGGGAAAGCCAGCATTGAAGGCATAGTCATCGCTGGCGCCGGCAGCCGGATACAGCAGTTGGGTGGAGCAGCCCACCTTGTAAATGGTGCCAGTAGCCGCTTTAATGGCATCCCCACCAGCACGACCAACTTCATCCAGATCCTCCCAAGTGTCTGGTAGCTCGCTGCAAAGTGAAACTGTTAAGAAACAATTCTTATCGATTCTTAGTCACTCACTCGATGTAGCCCCAGGGGTAGAGTATATAGTTGCCATAGGAGTGCACGGTCAGATACATTTTGCCACGATCCGCCAGGCCGCGTATCAAGTCACGCACCACAATGGCCTCCGGTTCAGAGAAAGACTTTGGTCCAGCATAGGTCTCAGAGCAGGGATCCGAGGAAGCTCCAGTTTCGTTCCAGTGAAAATCAAAATTACGATTCGGATCGATGCCAATGCAGGCGGCACTGCTGGGCTGGCGAGTCTTGCGCCACATGCGCGTATCCGGCGACACCTGCGTATATTCATAGCCGTCCGCATTGACCACAGGCAGAATGACCCAGTCATAGTCGAGTAGTAACTGAGCATACGCCTCGTAGTTGTCTACCAGCTCGCCAATGGCATAAACCACAGCAGCAGGTGAGATCCACTCGCGTGCATGGAAGCCGCCGTCCATGAGGATGACGTTCTTATTAGCCCGTCCATCGCCATTGGTGATCCGTATCGTCTTCAGCCAACGGCCCTCATATGATCTGCCCACCGTCTTGACCAGCACTCGAGTGGGATGCTGCTTAGCAAGATCTTCAATATACTGATTGATCTCACCATGTGAGTAATACCGCTCTGTGCCCAGCCTGCCCCGATAAGGGTGCGCATTACGTAACTTGCGATTCGTTTCGAATTCGCGATGCAGCGATAAGCCCGCATCATGATTAACAATTTTATAGCTCAACGTGTTGCCATTGAGCAGCTCAATGAACTCTGGCTGTGCATCAGGATGCACCAAGACATGGGTAGCTGCGTCATTGCTGTAGTACAGCTCATAGTAGGAATCGTTATTGGCCAGCTTGGAGAAGTCCAGACCATCGCCAGCGGAGCGACTCTTCGTGGCCACCTCATAGATCTTAAAGCTGTTTAATGATTAGGGAAGCATTCAAGCACTTCACAGCCAACCACTCACCCGTCATAGACACCACCCTTGGCGTGGCTTAGCGCTATGCCAAAACAATACACAGCCAACCAAAATATCAATTTCATCTTAACACCTTGCCAACCTCTCAAGAACTGTCCAATCTTATAAAAAGCCCCAGCATGATTTCCAATCAGAAACGTTATCAATAGAACATAACATAAAAGAAAAGTAATCAGCAAATTGGTTGTAAAATCAATTAAAACATCGATACGCATTTATTGGTAGCTCTCATAAGTGTTAAGGAGTTAAGCGAATAAAACTAGCGATAAGGAAATCGAGAGAGCAATTCGGATAGAAGAACTAAAGAAGGTTTGATAACGTTTATTGGATTGATTATATATAGATGGCTGCATATTTAGTTTAGTTGATTTGATATGAGAATCGCATAGTAAGGCGCTTTTTAAATACAATTTCTTCGCTTTCGGCTAATACTTTTCAATAACCTTCTCGGCCATGGCACGAATGCCTATCCATGTTTCCGTCACGAACTCATCAATTTTGCTAGCAGGTGGATCAAAGCCGGATATGCCACCTCCAGACAGCTCCATGGTAATGGAAATATTGAAGCCAGCATAGAAAGCATAATCATCGCTGGCACCAGCTGCAATATACAGCACATTGGTGGAGCTGCCCACTTCGTACTTAGTGCCAGTTGCCTCCTTTATGGCATCGCCGCCAGCGCGAGCCACATCGTCGAGATCCTGCCAAGTTTCAGGCAAATCTCTGCAAAATAAATTAGTTTAGTCAAGCAACAAATCAATTTAAGGCAAGTCAATAACGTACGAAGTCCAGCCCCATGGATAGAGCAAGTAATTGCCGTAGGAGTGAATGGTCAAATACATAATGCCACGATCCGCATAGGAGTGCATTAGATCACGCACTACAACCGCCTCTGGTTCAGAGAAAGCGTTGGGTCCAGCAAAGGTATCCACGCAGGGATTCGATGAGGCTCCCTCCTCATTCCAATGAAAGTCGAAGTTACGATTAGGATCAGCGCCATAACAGGTCTGGTCCAAAATCATGTAGGGCTGCCGAGTCTTGCGGAACAAGCGAGCAAGGGTTCCTGTCTGCGTGTGCTCGTAGCCATCTGGATTAACCACTGGTAGAATGACCCAATCATAGTCCTCGAGTAGTTCCGCATTCTCATCGAACTTCTCTACCAACTGCTCAATGACATACAGCACAGCTGCTGGAGAAATCCATTCACGCGCATGGAAGCCCCCATCCATGAGGATGACCTTCTTGTTGGCCCGACGATCTCCATTGGTGATCGTAATAGTTTTCAGTTCACGCTTCTCATATGACCAGCCCACCGTCTTGAGGAACACGCGGGTTGGATAACGAGCTGCCAAGTCGCTGATATAGTTGTTGATCTCCTCGTGTGTATAATAGCGGTCTGTGCTGAGGCGACCCTTGCCCGAGATGGGCGACAGACGTCGTTGCACTTGTCGCTGGGCAAACTCCTCGGCAATGGTGGCACCCAGATTCTCATTGATTAGACTGTGGCTCAACTTCTGCTCCGAGAGCAATTTCTCAAAGCTTTCCAACTGTTCCGGACTCACAATAACACGCGACGAATGCCCCAGCAGCCGACGTAGACTCAGGAAGTCGTAGCCCTGTTGGCTGAGCTTATAAAGCAGTTCGCCCTGCTCAGCATCGGCTGGTGTCAGGTCATAGATGCGATAGCTGCAAGCAACACTGGTTCAGGAATTTCGCCCATTACAAATCCTGGCTGGACTCACCCTTCGTAGTCAAATTCGGCAGCAACCAGTGCCAAGCCCAACAGCAGTAAGAAAAGACCCAAACGCGACATGGTTATACGCAACCAGAGTTATGGACACACGTGTCGAAAGTCACTGACTTAAATAGACCAGTCGAATCTAATCTAATACCAAGTCATAGATAAATGATTAGGGCAATTTCTTGTAAAAACTATGCTCTTAATCTGCCTTTACTGGCGATTAGATTTGATAGATTCTTATCGTCTGCAGAGCATGGGAAAGACAGAGTGATTTGTACCCCTTTTGGCCCCACAAAGTATTAATATACTGCTGATCCCTTAAGCACTCATAATCTGATCAAATCAACTGCAAATTGATACAAGAAATAGAAATCATTCGCTAGCGAAATCAGTTTATTGATATCAATTTTTTTTTTGCCTTTGCTTGGTCGAGCTTTTCCACCTCCAGCGCCATGGCACGCACACCCACCCAGCTTTCGGTCACAATGCCCTCGATGTGCGATATCCAGGGGTCGAAGCCAAGAAATCCGCCAGCTGGTAGTTCCATAGTAATGGCCACAGTTGCATTGGCCACGCCCACAGCATAGTCCGTGGAATCACCAGAGGTCGAGTACATCAAATGGTAGCCGCTGCCATAGCTGTAAATGCCATTTGTAGCCTGAAGAATTGCCATGGCACCCGCATCAGCTACCTGCATCATATCCAAGTAATTCGAAGGGAAAGAGCTGCAAATCCAAAGCAAGAAGCAAATTAAATCAACATTAAAATCTACTTGAGCTCATCATAGTAAATCACATGCTATTCTTCTATACTATTTCAGTACTTTTTCATGTACTTTGCACCCACCTTGTGTGACCCCAGGGCAGCAGAAGGTAGTTGCCATACGAGTGCAGCGAAAGGTAAAAGCTCAAGCGATCGCTGTAGTGCAGCAGCACATCGCGTACCACCTGCGACTCGGGCTGGTCGAAGGCGTGCTCACCACGATAGGTCTCGTTCGAAGGATCTGGCGAAGCACCCTCATCGAGTCCCCACATATAGCCGAAGTTGCGATTGAGATCGGTGCCAATGTTCTCTGGATCCCAGGTGGGTTTGCGGTTCTTGCGCCAATAGCGCGAATCCGTGTGACTGAACTCATAGCCATCCGCATTGACCACGGGCATAATCACCCAGTCGTAGTCCTTGAGCAGCTGCTCGTTTTCCGCATAGTTATCCAGCAGCTGCTGAATGATGTAAAGGGCCAAGGAGGGCGCAATCCATTCGCGTGCGTGCATCGCAGCATCAATGAAGATCACCGGCTTATTTGCCCGTCCGTCGCCATTGTTGATGGTCAGCAGCTTCAATGGACGGCGCTCATAGCTCCAGCCGAACTGCTTGACCAGCGCACGTTGCGGATAACGTTGGGGCAGACTGTCTAGATACTCATTGATTTCGGTGTGCGTATAAAATGCGCCTATAACATCTATAAAAGGCAGTGTGAAGCGCGCCTTGTTGCGTTGATTGTCCTCACGCTGGGCCTTAACCAGCTGGGACAAATCATCGGAGAGCAACTGATACTCGATCATATGTGTCTGCAGTTGCTTGACCAAACTTTCAGCTTGATTTGGTGCCACCAGCACCCTGTATCCACTCTCATTGTAACTGAGACGTGATCCCAAAAAATCCCAATGGGGCTGCTGCCAGAACAGCTGTCGAAGCAGTTGCACCTGATCATCATCCTCAGGCTGCAGTTCGAATACCTTATAATCCTTGTAATCCTGCCAGGCCAACAGGCAACTGAACTGCAGCAGCAGCAGCAGCAGTAGCCAGCCCAAGAGAGCGTACGATGTCATTTGTTCAAAGTCGCCAGAAGACTAGGCCCCAAATATTTCAGATACCCGTGGAATAACCAAGAGACTTATCAACTAATTGGAACCAATGCCGATGATTGCACTCGGCTTATAATACCAATAATATAATTTTATCGTTCGTCTACAGACGCTTCCGTTTATGGCGGGTGATAAAATAAGTAATATAAATATAAATAGCAATTCGTTGAGGGATTGAAGACTGCCTCAGAGTGAACTAGTTCTTTTGAGTGTTTTTGTTTTTTATCTGAAATTTTGTAATGCCTAACAACGATGACAATAATTAGTTTAATTAACAATTATAAATTCAATTGCCTAAATGCTAAAAATGCCAGTGGAGACCGCAGAGCTTAATACAGACTAACATGGCGAATGAACTCGATAAAGCCGGCAAATGTCTCCTTGCAGACGTGGATGATGTCAAAGGAGGCCACATGGAATTCCTCACCGGGTAGCTCAACCGTGTAGGACAAGGGTATGCCCAAACTGCCATAGGCAAAGTCATCCAGACTGCCAGAAGCCTCATAGAGTATGGACGCCGAGGTGCCGACGGTATAGTGGGTGCCGCGGTATCTGCCGATTTGGTTGGCGGCTCTCAATGCCACCGCGCGCAATGTGGCCACAGTGGGTGGCACAGTATTTCTGTAAAAATAGAAACAAAAAGCAACAAGCTTTTGGTGTGAAACTGTTTACGATTGGATCCAGCTACAGTGCGGCCGGCAGTCGGGGAAATATTTGCTTTTTAATTGCTTTTGGCAATTAATTGAAAAAGTAAATTGAATTTCTTACACACCTCGCATAGCCGTAGGGATAAAAAATGAATTTGCCGAATGAGTGAACATCCAGGCTGAGCTTCACACGATGACGATTGAATTGCAAATAGCGCACCACGGCCGATGTTTCCGGCTCCGAGTTGGGCGAGGTGCCCGAATAGACCTCCGAACAGAGCTGTTTGTCGATATCAAATGGAAAGCGTGCTATGAATGAAGGTCAAAGTCAAGTTCAGGAAGCTCGCTTACATTCTGGCTGGCGCCCTGATAATTCCAGTGATTGCCGAAGTTGCGATTGATATCGACACCGCTGCACGAGTGGCCAGCAAAACGATGACGATTCTTGCGCCAAAAGCGATCCTAAAAACCAGACAAATCATATTGGTCAAACTTATAGCTAGATACATCTATCAAATCTACACTTACCGTAGTGTGAGTATATTCATAGCCATCGGGATTGACCAGCGGCACTAGGAACAACTCCACATCATTCAGCACACGCTGGAAGGCGCGCAGATTCGTGAGCAGCTCATAGGCCAAGTACAGAACTGTCTGGGTTGTAATCCACTCCCGGCCGTGGGTAGCCGCCTGTATGTAGGCCACGCGACGTGGACGCACACGCTGGTTCAGGGAAATGGATAAGCCCGCTATATGACGACCCTCGTTGGAGCGACCCAGCGACTCGTAGCGACAATATTGAGGATAACGTGCGGCCAGGCCGCTCATGAAGTTGAGAACCTCGTGATAACGCGGATATCTCGAGAAGAAGCTGCGCGCCTGACGCCGCTTACGACTGTGCGAACGATCTGATTCACAATCTCCGGGCTGGCATTCCTCGAACTCATCGTCTTCAGCGTAGGTGCTGTTGCCCTCCAGCGATGCCATCAGATCCATCAGTGGCTGTGTCTGATACTGCACGCCCAACTGCAGCAGGCGCGACTCGAACTGCGGCTTATGACTGGGACCCACTGTCAGAATGGACATGTTCCGTGTAAGTAGCCAGAAGTCTACTTCCGTGTCGTTCGTCTGCAGATCGACCATATACTGAAAGGCGCTCTCGCCGCCATGCTGCACCGTGTATTTGGTATATCTAAGGGTATAGAAATTCCAGCATTAGTATGTGATGAGATTATGTAATAGTCATCATAATATTCATGATCATAGGTGGATATATGGCAGCCATATGTGTGCTTAGACTGGAGTATGCCTGGTAATTTCTTGCACGTACTTTGAAGCCTGACATAGGCAAGCTTTTATTAAAGTCTTTATATTGATATATATGCATCTTAAGCTTCTTAAAAATATCATAAATATCTTGAATACCCAACTAGGTAATACTCTGCATAAAAATCAATATTGCTTCTAGATCTTAGTTTATAAGACTTAACTCCAACGAAGGAATGAATATATATATATCGTAAGGAAACCAGCTGTTAGGACTGTTAAGTAATGGACTGAAATTAATACCTATCTCATCTCATCTCATCTCATATCTCATTATTTATTTGGAAATACTACAGTTTTATATATATATATAAATATATTACAAATCTGATAAGAACTAAAATAAGCTAAATATCTGACAAGTCTAAGAAACCTCCATCAGATCTAGTAACACATTTTACATTTACGAAATTCATCAAGTTTATAGTAAATAAAGCTCTAAGAAAAAGTTAAGTTTCAAATGTATTCCATTTAGCAATATCTTATAAGCTATTTATTGTAAAAACTATCTATTCAATATCCAATACGCACAGATTTTAAAGTTTTTTAAGGCTAAAAGTCATTTCCTTTGGGTAATTCCAATTACATGCAATTGTAGCTCATTTATGGCTGAATAGAAAATCCAATTAAAATTTCGGAAAAAACCCTAAATATGACTGCTTAACACACACACACATACACACGCACAGTCTTGGTCTAATTGGACAACAAAATTAATTTGTGGCGCCCAAAAATGAGTTGTTGATTCACAAATTTATGCAGAATGAGCTCGTTCTCGTTGTCGTCGCCTGGCCAATTGGCGTTTTGCCACCTCGCATGAATTTGTGGCCAATTTATCATTTCGAAAAATTCCACAACAAGATGAAGCAACAAGCTGGCTGTCCCACAAAATATTGAATATATATGCATATTCATCATATGCAGCGTCGGAGGTGGAGGCGGAGGCGGAGGCGGATCGTGTAGCAAAACAGAAGACAAAGATGCGGCTAATCACGTGTGGCAGTCGACGGACGGCAGGCAGACAATGAATGAATGATATATCATTAAATTAAACGCCCGCCAATAATGCATATGCGGGGTATCTCTGACGAAAGCGAAGGCAAGAGCTGGTCGAAGAGAAGACTTGGCAAATCGGATGTGCATGACTTGCATATAGCCTATAGACAGTGCCTTAAAAGACCTTGTGCTCTCTGTTGAGTATGGGCTTCAAAATCGATAGTTATCGATGCTTAGATAAATGTATAGTAGCGGAGTAATGGATGCTGTGTAAAGGTTTGCTCAAAAGCCCAATGTCTTTTTTAATATTATGAAAAATATGTGGAACTTGTGGAGACTAGTAGAACATACCCTGTAATTAATGCTCTGCAGTAGCTCTTAACTTAACAATATTTATCGCTATTACGAATATTATATAGTGAATATCTAAAATATGCAATGTAAAGAGTGCCGTTCTCTCTTAGGCAAAACTTAATTAAAAAATCGATATTTATCGTTATTTGCAATTTTATAGGTTGTCTTTAAGAGTAAACAATATATATATACCATACATAATGGCCTCAAGCTCGTATGCCTCGCTGAACCTTATCTATGTCAATCGATATTTATCGATAAATTGAATACTAAAGTCTCTGCTTGCCAAGCAAATTTCTTTTATACACATATTTTATTTCTTATCTTGTCATGTCAAGCTCGAGGGAATACATTTTATAGAGCTAAATAAAATACAGCTACTTTACTCTCCTGCACATACTTGAAGGCAACATGCCCTTTCTTGCTGTTCGGTGCATCTAGGGTATATTATAAACACAGCGGGGGCTACCAACTAATTTTTCATTTTTGCATAAAGAAAATGTTTACATGTGATTAGTTTCGATTTTAATGAAACAATGTTTTAATTGTTGTTTTGTTGCTTTTATTGCTGTGATTTTCCTTAAATTAAAAGCAAATGATGCGCTATTGTTGACTGCAGATTGCGACCTTGTCAAAACCATATCGATGCATATATTAAGCATCCATTTGTGAACATTCCAATTTCAAACGTTTCATGCCGCAACAACAAAAATTATAAATAAAAGACAAAGCAACGGAAGGAAGCAAACATTTTGCGTGCTAATTAAGCTTAAAGTTGTATGTTTTTTTTTCGTTTTGTTTTTACTTTTGCTTGATTTCAATTTCATTTTGATTTTCAGCACGAACCGCTGTAGCAGCAGCAGCTTCAGCTGTTTACACGCATCACACATACGTCCCGTGCGCCCCCATCAAGTTGTAAGCTGTGAAGTTGCTGAAACATATTTCAGCAAACATTTGCACTGCGCTCGCATTTGGCATTTGCGTGAGACATTTGCTCTGCCAGCTTCGCATCGTCAATGGAACTGCCTTTTTATCATGGGCGTGTTGATTTTAGGGTTTGCCTTTTGTCAGCTCGCTACGAACTGGACAGCGTTTAGCCTAAGCGCTCATGTTAATGACAGCGTCTAATCGCTGGCATTGACGCTCAATACTATTAACACTTACTTGCAGCTACAACTATATATATTTATATATATATATGTATAGCTTTGTATACCCAAACAGTTGACATTTGAATAGCTCTTCAGCTATGTAGGCTAATATGTAAAGAAAAAACCTTAGTTACAAGCTTTAGATAAATATATTTATGTTTTTGACTAGTTTCTTGTTGACTTAACTCTTAGTTTCAGTCTGCAAAAGTGGTCTACTTGGAAGTGCCAGACTGAAAGATACCCTGAAAATTTTGGGCAATAGTATAAATTCTAACAGCTAGTAAATAAAGCAGGACTATCAAATAGCAAACTAGACTAGACTAGAAAGTGAAAGTATTCAAAGAATAGCAGAAAAGAATTAGAGGTATATTTCAAAACGTTTGCTTATACAGAAATGAAAAAAATTTGAAATTAAATTTGTTTAATGAATTTAAAAGTGTTTTTTAGAGCTTAAATTGTGACTTAAGAAGCCCAGACATTTGTGAAGAATTTGTTTTTTAAAGAAAACTAAAAATATATTTTACAAATTTATTTTTTTTTTAGAATCAAATATATTTAAATAGAATATTTTGTAGAGAATCAAAATAATATTTTCTGGATTTGGACTCAGTATAGCAAGTAATATAATAAAATATAATATTATAGTAGCTTTTTTTAAAGAACCTAAACATATATTAATAATTTTGTTTCTGTTTAATAATTTTGTTTCCTCTGTTTAAAAAAATTTTTAAGATATTTTAGTTAAATACATATAAAAGGTAACGATTTTGGGAAAAAAAAAACGAAAAATATAGAAATATTTATGATTTTTCATGCGTATTATAAAATGTTAAGATTAAAAGTTTTAAGCTACTTTTAAATTTATAATTTATATATAATATATATAAATTATTGTTTATATGTGTACAGAAAGGCAGTTGTAACACAATGAAGTAGCTCGCGCTCAAAACACGAACAGATAATCTTGAAGTGCCGAAAATTATTTAAGCTCTTGCAGCTTTGTTAAAAGTCTAGATAAGAGTCCAACTTTTAATATCGAAAATAAGAGAGCTCTTTTATGAAATGAGCGCATAGCCAAGCCATGAAGTAAAAGCCTAAACCAGTTTAACAACTAGCCGGCACTCAAAATTTAAATTATTAAAAAAAAAGAATTTTAATATGAATTAAGTGAGTTGCTGATTAATGAGCTTGGGAAATTGTCGAAAGACAAAAAAAAAACAAGTTAAAGTATATATACTATATATTACTGAAATATGTATATTTATTTATAACTATTGTGTTAATTACCCCTCATAGCCGGCCAGATTGTTGGAGCTGCTGCTGCTGATGGAGCACGTCAAGACGGCGAGGCAGAGCCACAGACTGCACACGATTTTATGAAACATTGTGCACTTGAACAATTGACCACAGCAGCTGCTCGTATTTGTTTGTTTGTTTGTTTTGTTTCTTTGCAATTTTATTTTAATTGTAAATTTTCTTTCTATTTTTTCTATGCGCAATTATGTATTAAAATATGCAGCCGAGCGTTGATTGAGGCATGAATGCTTTGGCTTATTTGCTTAAACACTGTTTGTAATAACTTTTCCAGATTGTTGCACTTGAAAAACTTATGTAATAGTTGCACACTGAAACTGAAGTTAATTCAAGTTGAAGTTGAAGCTGAACGCGAACCGTTTCGTGTGCTTCATCTCCAAAGACTGTCGAGTGCTACGCGGCGTGGCTCAGAAAGAAGACGTTGCCAAAGCCACACAAAAACCCGAAAAAATGTTTTCGAATCTTTTTTTGTTTTTGGTTTTTGGCTTTTGCTTTTTTTTTTTAGAAAAGTGAGTGTCAAGGTCAGTTGTCCAGTTCGGTTCACTTCAGCTTGAGTTTGTTGGTCCAAACCGCAGCGGCAAAGACTTCGCAGATGTTTGTAAATGCGTCACGAGACAAAATACGGAAAGGGGTTTTTATCTATTGTTTATTTATTTATTTATTTATTTTCCAATAGGTTTTACGGCACGCGTCGTCGTTTCTTATGGCTGCCAATTAGAATTTGCATAGTTCTTTGGCCATTTCAATTGAGTTTTGCATAATTTATGCCACAGTTGCTAAGAAGCCAAAATTGATGTGATTTGGTTTTGTGTCTTTTTTTTATATATTCTAAAATGAAATTAAATGATTTTTTATTTTCTTTCAAATCGTTGTCGAAACTAGTTTGAACAATTTTTGATCACTTTTTGTTGTTTTTTTTTTTGGTTTATTTTTTTTTGAGTCTAGTTCGGTTTTTGATCTTTGCATCCGTGTGTGGCGGGTCTCGAAGCGATTCTGAAGCCGTTACTTGTTTATTTACTGGTTTTTATAGAGGAACTTGAACTATGCTTATAAAGATAGACATATATATATATATATATATAGATTTATGTGTGTTGCGCTTTGGGCAAACTTTGCGCTTTGCCTTCCTAATGTCACGGTCTGACATAAAGATATAGAGCCGTTGGCTAAACTACCCGATTCCTGTTCTAAACGTCGCAAATGGAAAGGTTTGTTTTTCAAGATGCGCTGACCATTCTGTTAGCCGAACTAAATGCGAGCGTTCATCAAGGTCAATTTGGTAATCTAGCCGGAAGCTAGATATTATTATTACTATTATTATAGACTGCTGCCACTCAGAGAGATACTCCATTACAGTTAGCTCGGCCTGATGAGCCGCGAGCAAACAAATCAAAAAAAAAAAAAACCAAGCGTGGTTCGAGTTCATTAAAACCTAAAGTGTGGCTGGCATTTGCCCAGCATCAGGGCTAACAGAAGCCATTCACAAACTCAACGAATGCCACTTCACAAAATACAAAAAAAAAAGCGAAGAAGAAGATATTCATTTGGTTGATGACAAGCTCTACGCATTAGATTTCATTTATGCACATCCATAATGTATTGAAATATATTTTCGAATTGCTTTTGTGCGTAATTATGACACTTGTCTGTCGCCGCTGGCACTTCCGCTTGATCGGATATATTTTCATTTGATCTTCGAGTAGCAGGCGTCGAGTTGAAGTTGAAAAACTTTTAGATTAACGTTTCCGGTGATGGTGAGCTAAAAGTTGGATTTGCATTTTAAATTTCCAAGCCTTGCCGACAGGCTTTAATAGCTCCGATCGCCCGTCCAGCTGGCTTAGTTTGTAGACTCGTTTTAATGTGCTAAATCGTTTTAAGCAACTTTAATGGATTCTCAGTTCAAAGCTCAGGGCATTCAACTTTTCGCCCAAAAAAAAAGCCCCTAGACATACAATTATTCTTTAATAATCCCATTATCTTACCAACCCATATAGATCCATATCGCATATCATTCAAGGCATGCTCGAAACGAGTTTCGATCTATACCCTATTCAGATCAAAATAGTGGGCAAACAACAAAGGTAATATACAAAAACATTTACATACTAGTTTTTTTTTTTAATTATTTAATATAAAACACTTCCACTCTTGGAAGACGATCATTAATTTATCCAGAAAACATAAAGTGAAGGCCAAAGAAAATTGAAACTAGTTTAATAAGATTTATTTATGAGAAGACAGCATATCTTCTAGTCTAATACCTTATGGCAACAGTCTGACAATGTGATTTTGTTTATGTCTTTGGCAACGCCCCAATACAAAGCCGTAAAACAGCCACGAAACCGAGCTGTAGTCTGCGACCTTAACCATGAAAATAATATTTATGTACTCACCCAATCGAACTAATATTTGAATGAGATATCTGTAGACAGCAGTAAAATTATCTTTAATTTATGATTCATTAGTCATTGGACGGAAATGGATGTATTTGTTTACTTATTACAGAACTGTTTTACTTTCTATATGTGGAACCCTGATGGTCCCTAGACTGCTCGACTTCAACTATATCTGTTTATCCGTATAACTTTTTTCCCTCTCTCATTCTCTTAGTTTTTATTCTTTCTCTATCTCTCTTTCTGTCTCTCGCTGTTTCTCTGCATTCGCTTACCCTCTTTTGCCTTTTCCTTTCTTACCATATTTCCGCCACTCTTTTTATTTATCTTTCTTTCTATCTGTATCTTTATATTTTTCTCTATCTTTTCCATATATTTCTGCCTATCTAACATATATATATATCACTCTAGTTTTATCTCTCGCTATCTGACACTCTCACTCTCACTCCCTTGCAGCCTCTCGCTCACTCTCCGTCACTCTATATCTCGTACTCCATCTGTCTCCCTCTCTCTCTATCTCTCTATCTCTCTCTCTCTATCTCTCTATCTCTCTATCTCTCTCTATCTCTCTCTATCTCTCTATCTCTCTCTCTCTACCTCTCTCTCTCTATCTATCTCTCTCTCCTCTCTCTCTCTCTCTCTCTCTCTCTCTCTCTCTCTCTCTCACGTACTCCATTCTCTCCATCTCTCTCTTTCTCTCTTGTATGTAAATTACTCACTCTTTTCTCTCAGTCATCCTCGCCTCTCAGTTTATAGATAGCTTCTTTCTGAATTCTCTGCATACTCTCTCTCTATCCCCCTCTTCACCTTTTCCTCTCTCCCTTTTTCTTTTTCTCTCTCTCTCTTCCTTTCTCTCTCTTCCTATCTCCCTCTCTCTCCTTCATCATATTCTTGTATTTAAATTACTAAATCTTCTTTAGCTAAATCATCCTCGTCTTTGAGCTTATAGATATATTTTTGCATGTAACTCAACTCATGCATCCACAATTTGCTATTTAGAGTGTAGTTTCTTTCTGAAATTTAGGCATACTCCAGTGGCACATCTCGACAATTAGAGTCGAAGGCATGCAAATCGAATTTATTCAAGAGTGGAAGGCGACTCCATCCAGTGTTCTCCAGCATTCGAGTCAGTTTGACTGAGTCCCTTGACGCTGGAGCATCGAGCATCGCAGTAAACAGTTCAGGCAATGGTGAGTGTGCCAGAATATATATTATAATATAATATATAATATAATATAATATAAATTTGCAGTTGGTGGTGACGTCGCTGCAGTTATTGTTGCTGCTCTTATCAGCGCATTGGCAAATGGAAGCGTTCAGATATTACGACTTTGAAGACATTGGGCCTTATGAAGTGGGCAACACGAATCAGGAATGTGACGGCCATGCAGTGATTTTGAAATGGATCAACGAGCAGGTGACCAGAAATGCAAAGTTAACGAGTTTCAATCTGCACTTGGGCCAACTGTTGGTTGCCATAAATAGCACGAATCCCAATCAGGCTGGGGAGGAGCATTGCTGTTTCTATGAGAAGAGTACCATGAGTACCATATTTTCCGGTTTGACGAACCTTTCGGCTATCAGTGACATGCCAAATGGCCAGCCAATTGAGGAAACTGGCGATTTGGGAAAAGATTTGGACCTTATTTTGGAGCGTATGAAGGCGATTTCGGCGAAGAAAGCGAAAAATTGCTGCGATCGATTGGCGGAACATCTCAAAGCGGTCGAAGCGGATTTGATGAAACAATTAGAGGAACTAGGCAAGAAATTAAGCCAACAGCACGAAGCTGCCAGCCAGCAAACAGATGAGCTAAAGCTAAATCAAACCAATCTCGAGAATAAGCTCAAGAATGTAACGGATCGCATCGATCAACTGGAGAAGAAGCAGGACGCAAACCAAGCGGAAGCGGCAAAATGTTGCAAGGAGCTAAACGACAGAGTGGATAAGCTCTACGAACAGCTGGAGCAGGCGAAAGCTGTGGCTAAAGAGAAAGCTAAGCAGCTAGAAAAGGATATCAACGAGTTGAATCAAAAGCAAAAGGATCATGCGGATAAGTTGAATAATTTACAGAAAGAAACTGAGAAGCAAATGGAAATTATTAACAAAACTGTGGAAATTTGCAATAATAATTGTGGAAATGAAACAACTGGAAGTGGAGGTGGAGGTGTAGGGGGAGGTGCAAATGGAGGTGGAAATGGTGGAAATGGAAGTGGTAGTGGAAGTGGTTCAACTGGAGGTGCATCCCATACAAGTGGATCATTTGAACAACAGCTACAAGGCCAAGTACACCATTTGGAGAATATGATTGTAAACCTTACCGTGCAGATCCATCAAGTGACCAACGTATCGAATGCCGTGGCAAATTGTTCGAAAATCGAGAGTGAATTGACGGAAATGCTTAACTTACTTGATAAATTGCAAAACCAAAAACCACCAGAAGAAACCGTCTGTACCTCCGTTGAGGAATTACAGGCGGCACTTGATGATGCCCTAAAGTGCTGCAAGCGAGTCGATGAATTGAGCAAGCAAGTGGAGAAAATGACCCAGCAAATTGAACAATTGGATAAGAAGTACAGTAAACATGTGGAGCAACTGGAAGAGGCCTTAAAAAATGTGCAACAACAACTGGATGATGCTTTGGACCAGTGGAACCAGACGAGCACGACACCAAGTCCCTGTGCTGGCGGCAATGAAACTGATTCCGAGGCCCTGCATGATCGCATCAAGGACCTGCAGAATCAGATAAACACTTTGAAAAACATACTTAATATCACTGAAATAAATCTCAATAACAATGAAGCAAAGCTCGTCGGGATTAGCGAAACGCTGAAAGAAAAATCGAAAGAATTCGAACAGGTGAATCAGGATCGCGAGAATGCAGCGAACACATTCAAAGACCAGACGGAGGAACACTTAAACAAACTGGAGCTGCTAATATCAATGCAAAATTCAAGCAAGCCCAATGACGAGCTCATTAAGCGCATAATCAAATTGGAAGAGCTGGAGAAGATAATGAGCGAAGATGTAGAAAAGATATTGAAGCTGGAGACGACTATTACGGATCTGCAAAGTCAGCTTGAAGAGGCGCTAAAGAGGTTGAAAGATAGCGAGGCGAACTTCAACGAATGTACCGAGAAATGCGCCAAGCTGGATGAGCTAAATGATCTGATCGATCGCTTGGAAGATTTGGAGCAACTCGTTTATTCGACCACATCCAGCACTGCCAACACTCCCACCCCTGCCACTGGCAGTGGCGGCGGAAGTGGCGGCGGTCAAGGCGGTGGCAGTGGCGGTAACGACGATTACGTCAATTACGGCGGTGGCGGCAATGGGGTCGGTAGCGGCGGGGGCGGCAGTGGCGGCGGTAGCGGCAGTGGCGGCAGTAGCGGCGGTGGCGGCGGTGGCGGCAGTGGCGGCGGTGGCGGCAGTGGCGGCGGTGGCAGCGGTGGCAGCAGTGGCAGCGGTGGCGGCGGTGGCGGCGGTGTTGGCAGTAGTGTCTACCGCGGCCACCTTATCGGTTTAGTAGGCAGTGTGGACAATGCAGTTCCAATTTATAATAGTAACTAAAAAAATATAACTGAAAAGAAAAGATATATATATCATGTGACAATAGTTCTTCAAATCCAATCAGAAAATTTTATTGTGTATGTTATCTTTAGCGTTTTGATCAATTCATATAAATATTTGCGCACATTAAAAAAACGACTACAAATTTTTTGGTTTAACGATGGCAGAATACTAACGTTTATTTTTCCCATGATTGTAAATGTTGACCAAGAGCATGAATGTTAAGTAACAAAGCATACTCACTTATTTTTGCCACGACTGTACGATGTAGTTTAGTTTACTAAGCGAAATTTGAGCTTTTGTTCGAATCTCATCAAAGTAACGTGTAGTATTATTTTTGCCATGACTGTAAATGTTAAGAAGCGCTAAGAAACTAAGTTAATTAAGAGAAGCAGGCAAATGCCATGACTGTAACTGTTAACACAGACTATGGCAGTAGGTTAACAAAGACAGCAGAATACCTTGTCTACCTGTCCAATCAGAGCAAAGTTAAATTGCCTTGCCATAAATATGCGGGCGATGAGGACGATTTTCCTGCATATCCTTGTTGCTGTTAGTCCTTAGTAGATGCAGGCTGACGCTATTCGTTTATGTTATTTTCACATAATTGCCGGAATTTCGTTAATTTGTAGCCAATTTTATTTCGTCATCAAATGCCCTAATAGAACCCACACACAGAGACAGAGCTCAAAGGGATTCCAAAGGACAACTGCTTACATTTCAGCCAGACTCTGTTTTTACGTTTGCCATTCCGAAATGCAAAACTTTTAGCCCTTTTATTTTCGCCAACATGCTAATGACATAATGTGCATACTTCAGAAACGCCCCCTAACAGGAGCGAGCGACCTGTCTGGATCCTTACGTGTCTCCGGCAAGTAGAGCCAACAAAAATAAAAAAAAATAACAGAAAACATGGGAATAATTTTAATTTATGTTGGTAAGTAGTTGACTAAGAGATAACCTATAAAAAAAACTAGATATAGTTATATATGAGAGCTAAAGCTCTACCTTAACTGAAGCTTTTTTCATATCAAAAGGAAAAACTTTTCATTTCCAAATAAATTTAAATTAAATTTTTGCAGGGTATCTAGCAGCTTTGCGCCTTTCGTGCAGCTGCTAGACGTAAATATATGGCAGTCACTGTGTCAGGAAGTTGACTAAAAGACCGTTAAATGAAAATCAACACGAACCTTGTTTTCTGTATAAATCAACTGGTTGCGTCGCAAACGATGTTTCCTCTAAATGCATTCATATGAATGTAAATACACTGTATATATAGTACTATATATATATGTATATGTGTGTATATATATAGATTTGTGTGTATATACACATGTTCCGACTCCGCGTAGTTTTTGACATTTGCGTTGACATGACGTTTGTCGGCCAACCAGCTACACTGTCCAACCAAAAAACAGTTTATATGGCAGCTATATAGCGTGGAACGGGGCGATGAGATAATATGGATTGAAAATCTTTAAGGTCTTCTGCTTTTATAGTATTCAAGCTACACTTTAAAAACTACATAAAATGATCGATTTTTATCGATATGGGTTGAGTTATCGAAAGCTGCTTATGCAGAAATATACATTAACAACTGCCAGCCTCTACAACGACTTCACTCGTCATCCAGATCAGGAATATTGACATCGTATGCTTCCTTCACTTAGTTTTTTCAAACTTGACAGTTTGTTATATATTTAAAGTGGAGGTAAGCTTAAGAACTCAAAGATTGAATATTTTGCTAACCTAGTTCGGATACATCCGCTGCATAATTTTTGTTAATAATTCATGCAGCACAGTGTTATTTAGAAGCAATCTGGAAAATGAATTTTGTAGTCAGCAATGCTTTAATTCCTGGATTCATGGGGCATATGCGGCGACGTTGCTCCGTTTCCGGAACGGCACGCCAATTGGAGCTGTAGGCCTTGTTTATTTGCATAGCACGTGCCTGCGCTTTGGGCCACCCAAACTTACTCGCTCACTCACTCACTCACTCTCACTCTCTCTCTCTCTGTCTCTCTCTCTCTCTCTCTGTCGCCGTATTGTCTGACATTTAGCATATTTGCGTTTCTGTGGCAGCGACTGCCAAATGCAGGCAGGATATACCAGCAGGATATACAAATCCAATTCCGCATTACAACAAACTCTGCCGTGCCCAACTTATTAAACGTTGTCGCTGTTCCAATTTAACAAACGCCCACGATATGTAGGTGGCTGTGGATATGTGGCACTGTTCCCAGTGCATCGTTTGATAAAAACTCTGGCTGGCAGTCCGTTAGGGTCACACAATGGCTGTTGGGCCCGAAGGACTCGCACGGCTCGTCCTTGTCGAGCAGCTGCTGCAAGAGGTAAGATTTCCTTTTCTTTTCCCGATTTTCCTTCTTTTTTTTTTGTTTGCTCGTTCGTTCGTCTGTTTTCCAGCAGGCCTTGGCCAGCCAGCCGGATAAGCGTTGGATTCATATTTTTATTCGATTCATATTTTTATTGTGTTGTCGTTCCTAGACTTGTTTATTTACAAATTCTTAGTGCTAAGCTAGTTCTGTTTCTCGACCACTCTTAAGTACAGTATTCAATTTCGTACTTTGACAAATATATTCATTATTTTAACATCGTTCAAAATCTAACACAAATTGGAAATGCAAACCGCAACGAAACGCCCCAAGAAGAAGGCACGCACCGCTCCAAAGATATCCGTTGTGTCCGTGCCCGCTCAGCTAGCACGCCGTCTGACCATACCGCGGCCGGATGTGTTGCACACGTATCTGGAGTACGGTCAGATCAACCAGTATTTGGAATATATTGTGCACAAGTTTCCCAATTTCGTAAAGCTCTATACGCTCGGCATCACCCATGAGAAACGTGAGCTGCGCGCCATAGAAATCAACTGGATGAATCCGGATAATGTCGAGCTGTCGCCCCTAATGCGTATGCAGGCAGTCAAGCTAGCCGACGCGCACAAAAAGTCTGGAACAAAAGGACCGATTGTGTTGCCCGGTGAGAAAAATCGCAATATCATTTTCATAGAGGCTGGCACCCACGCCCGAGAATGGATTACGATTAGCACCTGCCTCAACTGCATCTATCAGCTGACGGAGCGGTATACGCGGAACATCGAGGTGCTGCGAAATCTGCGCTTCATCATTGTGCCGCTCGTGAATCCCGATGGCTACGAGTATTCGCGCACCAAGGTAGGGCTCCCGGTCTAACTGAGTAACCCAGCTTTCTCAACGTAATCCTCTAACCTCTCTCAGAATCGTAATTGGCGCAAGAATCGGAGGCCGCACAAGACATCCAAAATTGTGGGCACCGATTGCAACCGCAACTATGACATATTCTGGGAGTGCGGACCCTCGAGAACCAATCGCAATACATATAAGGGCGAACGTCCCTTCTCCGAGCCGGAGACACGGGCCATGCGAAACATCCTCGATAGCTTGGCGCCCAATTTGTTGTTTTTCTTGTCGCTGCACTCGTATGGCCAGAGCATCATGTATCCATGGGGCTATTGCCGGGAGGCGCCTTACCATTGGCGTGAGCTTCACATGCTGGCAAACACTGGTCGTACGGCCATCAAGACGTACAATGGACGTGAGTATCGTACGGGCAGCATTAGCTGCCTGACCAAGCGCACCATTGCCGGCTCCGTCGTTGACTATGTGTACGGCATATTGAAGGCGCCCCTGGCTCTGGTCATGGAGCTGCCGTCGCGGGAGTTAGGCTTTCAGCCACCCGTTGAGATGATCAGTCAGATTGGGCACGAGAGCTGGTTCGGTATACGTGAGATGTGCAAAATCGCTTTCGATTTGAGACAAAACATCAAGCGGGACGAAGAGCCGCCCAGGCCGCCAGCACGCAGTACCTCAGGTGCCGCCGATACGAATCCTAGCAACACCAGCGACAAGAAGAAATCGGTTAAGAAGAAAACCCGGAAACGTTCCAAACGCTCACTTCTCACGCAGCATGCCGAAATACTCGAGCTGCAGCAGCGTCACTTAGATGCCGCCAAAGTGCCGCCACGGTCGTTAACGGCACCTGCGCGAACGGGTCGCGGCCAAGGCGATGGGCAATCCTAAAGAACTATCGTTACAACGAATGTGTGTGTGTATGTGTAGAGGGGGATGTGTGGGTCTGTGAATGTAATGTTAAATAATGTTTATAAGTAGATATACAAACAGCTTGGGCTTGGTCCCAAAGTTGAGTTCGCTTGGGCATTTTTATTCTGTATGTGGGTGTGTATGTTTTGATGCTCCATAATATTTTATAACTTGGTTTTTGTACATTGTAAATCAAATGAGGAATATGCACGCAATCTCTACGATTGCTGCCTTTGTGTGTGTGTGTGTATCTGTGTGTGATTGCTTAAATACTAGTACAACAGTGTGTGTCACTCATGGAGTTAATCTTTTGGTGGTCTCAAAAGAAGGCAAACGCGGTGCAGCATACTTCTGACGCAGCTTCTCATACACCTTGCGATCCTGTTGAGCATAAGTAAACAATTTTTAGTAGGTATTACCCCTGGTTAGTAGACTAAACTTACCTGCTCGCTAACCGAGGGACGCAGCTGCTTGAGTGCCTCTTCGAAATGCTTTTGGCACACACAAAGTTCGTCGGCATTGGTGTTGCCGCTGTTCAGAGATTGACGCAGCGAAAACATGGATGCCTGCTTAACCAGGCCGGCCAAATCGGCACCCGTATAGCCAACCGTTTTTGTAGCCAACTTCTTCAAATCGACATCATCCGCCAGCACTGGACGCTTGCCATTCTAATGGTTTACAAAATGGAATTAGATTAGCAAATGCATTCAACAAACTGATACCAATGTAGGCTCACCTTCGTGGTGGCTTTCAGTATATCCACACGCTCCTGCTCTTGCGGCAAGCCAACATAGAGTATGGTATCTAAACGACCCGGTCGCAAAATGGCCGGATCTATGATGTCCGGCCGATTAGTAGCAGCCAATATATAGACGCCCTTACGCTCTTCAACGCCATCCATTTCAGTGAGCAGTTGATTGACAATGCGTGTGCCGGAATTGTTGCCATCGCCCCCATCCGAGCGCTTGGGGCATAGCGAATCGAACTCATCAAAGAAGATAACACATGGCGACGAATTGCGAGCACGTTGGAAACAAGCGCGCACTGCACGCTCACTCTCGCCCACATACTAAACAAAAAACCAGATTGTACTTGAGTAAAGCAAATTGAGATTACTTTAGAGACAGCTCACTTACCATATTCATCAATTCAGGGCCTTTAACGGATATAAAGTTAATGCCCGCCTCATTGGCTATGGCCTTGGCTAACAAAGTCTTGCCACAACCAGGTGGGCCGCAGAGCAGCACACCGGAGGGTGCCTCTAGGCCAAGGCGTGCCAGCATCTCGGGATACTTTACAGGTGCCAGCACAGCTAGCTTCAGCTCTTCGCGTATGTCATGCAATGAGCCAATATCCTCCCAGGTAGTGTCTGGAACAGTGATGAAACCTTCACGCTTTGCCGATGGCTGTATAACCTTAACGGCGGTCATAAAATCATCTAAAGTAAGACAGAAATTTGGATCGGCGAATTCCTCTGGCGGATTGTCCAAGAAATTTGTCAGCTCAGCCAATGTTGGTTCGTAGAATTCATCAAGCTCAACTGGCGACTTGGCTGGCTTTTCGGGCTGTTTGGTCTCAGATTTTTCGTTGTCATCCACATCCATGGAATCATCTTCATTGGCCTTCTCGCCATTTGTGGCTTCTGCATTTTCTTTATCCGAGCTTGGCTTTTCAGATTCTTCACCTTTTTTTTCATCAGTTGACTTCTTATCAGCTGCCTTCCCATCGGCTGGCTGCTCCTCATCTGCTGGCTTGTCCTTCACTGGCTCGGCGGGCTCATCATCGTCCAGTGTAACTGTTGTCATATTCATTTCACTAGCTGCATGCAGCTCACGAAACTTTTTCATTGATCGACGCTTCACAGCAATTGTGGCAGCCCGCGAAACCAAAGCCAACAGATCGGCGCCCACATAGCCAGGCGTTAGCTCAGCAATTTTATCATAGTTTAGCTTCGGGTCAATGGACAGACCCTCGCACTGAATGCGCAATATTTCACGTCGTTCTTTGCGCGTTGGTATATGTATAGCTATTTCGTGATCGAAGCGTCCAATGCGACGCAGACCCGGATCCAAAGCGTCCGGCCGTGTTGTGGCAGCAATAACAACCACTGATTGTCCGAATTCAGTGCTCTTTAGCTGATCCAAGCTGGTAATTAGCTGCGAGACAATACGACGCTCCATATCTTTGGAGGCCCACTGACGATTGCCCGCAATGGCATCGATTTCATCAATGAAGAGCACACATGGTGAATTATCAATGGCCTGTTCAAAAACATCACGTATACGCTCCTCCGATTCACCAGAAATGCCCCCAATTAACTCCGTGGCCGGCACCTCCAGTAGCGGCATTTTCAATTGCTGGAGAAATATAAAAATATGTATATTGTATATAGATATATATACATTATGATTTAAGCATATACGTACACCCGCAATGGCACGCGCTAAATAGGTTTTGCCACAGCCCGGCGGTCCGTGCAGCAGCAGGCCACGCGATGGCAGCAAACCCAATTGGAAATAGAATTCCGGTGATTTGATATGTATTAGCATTTCGCATAGCTCTTTCAGTGTGCCATCCATGCCACCAATATCACGGAAACTCTCTGAGATGCGTGCCACCTCCAATTCCTTTTTGTAATGGCGAACACGCATCTGCTGCTGATGCTGATGGTGTTGCTGCTGTTGTGGAAACTGTTGATGTTGTTGATAACCATGGGAGGGTCCATGATGCGATGGTTCCTTGCTGGACCCAACGTCGCCTTTACCAACATTTGCCGAAACGTTAACATCTGAAAAATAGCTGATTAATATAGAATCAACTGGAAATCATCCCTAAAAGCACTCACATTTCTTCGACGGCATTTGGTTAGCTGCGTTACTGCCACCTGTCAGGTTATCCTGTCGTGTACCTTCAAGCAGATCAAATAGCGATGTTTTACCTATTAAGGCATAAGTTTATGTGTCTCCATTATTGCTGATCCTTACCTTTCTTAGCCAGCACAGCTGCCATTGACTGGCTTGGATCCATGGGTCGTTTGACCGCTTTTACCGGAGCTATAACCGTAGCGCCACCAGCCAAGCTGCCAGTGCCATTTGGTGGACTGACGGATTCATCATCGTTCTCATCACCGCTGGAAATGTCAATTGGCTCGTTGCTCGGCTTTGGGGTTGGCGGTGCTTTGCGAACTGTAGTTTGATTTGGGGTGTACAAACCATGCATTAGATTATTCATGACGCTGTTGTTAGGCGTCTCTGCTTCGTCTGATAGAAAATCTTCTTCTTCCTCAGAGCTGCTTGCCTTATCTAAGTTGTAGCTGTCGGAAACAATGGAAAAAGCTAAAACGCCAAAACGGGTAAACGTTTTAATTAGTTATAATATAGGGTAAATAGTAGTAAAATATATACAAGTAATTATATAGTGAAGTAATAGTCTATAATAGTAGTAATATTAAATAGTACTATTGCATATTTATATTAATAAGGTTTAGTAGAATAGTGGTAGGAAAATAGTACTATATTAGTAGAGGACTCAGCTCAATAGCAGACACATTGAGCAAACCTATTTACTCACTCTAACTTGGCGAGAATATATATACAATACTTATACATTATTTATTGGCATCGCATGTTTTTCGCCGAAACTAATATACTCGGAATTGGGGTATCCCAATCTAACTGTTTAAAGCCGCTTTTTAGACGCCCTGGTGAAATACGTGCCCCGCAGCACGCTGGCAGTTTTGCCCAGTTTTGGAGCCTTCCCCAACAAAAAATATAATAATATTGGCAAATTGGCATTTGTTATATTGCCCTCATCTGTCTGTCATGCGCATATGCGTTTGTAATATTTACTTTGATATTTACCTTGATGAACAAGTTGTCTGAATGGTCCAAATTTGCGACGGGAATACTCGGGATATTTGCGCATCAACTCTTTGGTCATCTGCTTCACATCCAAATAGGTCTCGTCAATGTGCTCTTCCAGATACTAAAAGCCCGATTAATGTAAAAGAAAAATCTACATTTAATAATTGCAAACGTCTGTCAAAATCTAACCTTGCTTTTGAGAAATTAGTTTTTTTTTTGCTTGCCGGCTGCGTCTTGTATAGTTAGGAATTGATAGTTATGGATTAGAATAAATTACCTGCTTTACTCGATTCGTTATTAAATGATCGTGCAATAGTGGTTTGACTTTCTTCATATTCTGTGTGGGCAAAATAAGTGCTGCCAAAATTCACACGAGAATAATTTCGCGTTAGCCGCTAACAATATGACGCCGACGCTTGGAAGAAGTAGCAATCGCAAGTAACATTCCGCGGGAACTATCGAGGACAGCTATGCGATAACTAATCGATATACAATAATTTATTTAAAAGCTATAATATATTGTTATATTTCTGATATATTAATAGTAATATTTACTAATATAACATAAGTAAATCATACAATGGTGACAATGTTGTATGTGTGCATGTGATTGATTTAATATTAAGCACATGTGAGTGATGTCGTGACCTTTGTGCATCTGCATCTCTAATAAAAACAGCTGAGCTGGGTGTGACCAGATTCTCACAGATCATATAGTATTAACCAATTTGAATCTATTTCGGGCAGCGCATAAAAACTGAAATTTAAATTTATTTCACATTGAAATTTCGATTTATTGAATTTTGCGCGTTCAACAGAAACTTTGTAACTTATGACTAAATAACTTATAGTTGTTGTACAGGCTTACAATTACATAATAATGCATTAAATAGTCTTCAATAATAAAACTAAACTGAGCGGAATGAGGATTATGATCAATTCATCAATTAGTGCATTTCATAGCACAATTTCATGCAATTAATTGACACATAAATCCAGTTTTGTTAACTAAAAGTTATTTACCTAAGAGAATGGAGAGTTGAGACTACCCGAAAAGGCACTACTAGTGATTATATATATATATATATATATATATATATATATATATATATATATATATATATATACAATAAGAAATATATATATATGTATATATATATAAATATTGAAAATACAAATACAGGTGCTGCAGCAATTGGAATCGTGTAGGAATTAATTTCTTTAAGGAGTACAAATTATCAGTCGCTGTGAGTGTGTGTGTTTGTGTTTGTGTGTATGTGTAAAAGATTGCTCTTTCGCAAAACATTTAAGAGACTTGGTGATCCTGCTGCTGTTTATATGAAAACGAAATCAGAGCACCTTCTTCTCCGACATCCGACTTCGAAAATCGTCTGCGGCACTAGCAAATGGACTGACGTGCTCTTCGGCCGTTGTTGCTTTCAATTGCTGGCTTGATGAATTCGCCAGAATGGGTATAGAATTTATATGCAATTCCAAATTGCTAGGAGCTTTTGGCGACGGCAGATCGGGGGAGTCGAATATATTAGTCGTCGATGAATTTGTTCTAGCCATCCAAATGCGATAACCAATGCCAAACATTTGATCTTTAATGTGCATTATTTGCAGAATCAGCGCATCTATCAGTGAGCTGGCCGTATCAAATTCGTTTGGAATGATGCCATCCACAGAGTTCTCGAAATAGCTGAACATGGGAAACCAAATTCGCGTGCGCGTCGAATCGCTTTGCATGAGAGCCTAAAAGGATACAAAGAAAAGATAATTCTCATTAGCTTTAACGGTCCCCACACTAAACATCAAAATACTTGCTCGATTGTTGGACAGTGTATGATAGTAGAGAAATAGACGCGAAGTTATATAGAAGGCAACAAACACATCAATTGAATAATGCTCATGGGCGGCCAATATAAAGAAGATGCCAAACATATTCAACAGCCAGGTCAACGTGTGCAAGAAATACAGATTACGCGGAGTATCTGAATGAAAATCCGATATTAATTAGTTTTTGATTAGATTAAATAGAGATCAATACGCACACTCAGTGATGAAGAAGTTGAGCAACGTTAAGGCCACCGTGTGACCACTGAACATATAATCTCCACAGGTGCGTACACCCTGTATGGACATGCCCAGACCGCTCCAGATGCGATATGCTCTCGTCATTCGTATTACCAGAGCCCCAAAAACATCAACATTGGGGTCATCGATGGCAAAGTCCTTTTGATTGCACTGCAAATGGGTGCCGGGCACACTCAACGAAGTAATTAGCATCGTAACGCAACGCAACAGAAATACAGTGCCGGCCAATGCGCAGAACCGGCGCAGCAGGACCAGACGATACTTATGAAAGATCAGCACAAACAGCCAAATTGTAAATAGAAGTGTGCCGGTAATCTCACACATATTGAATGCCCACGGTATGTGGGGTACGTTGTCCAGGAATATATCCGGCAGCGGGGGATATCGCTTCATATCGGGCACACGCTCGTGCACTATCACCATTACAAACGACGTTATCCATGTGACCACAAATGAATAGCCTGCAATAGGAACATGAAACGGCGCTTATTAACAGTAAACAATCAAACTAATAATACTTTGTTTAGTTTAAAGCAAACAAACAACAGAAATTCAGTAGAAGAGCTACCCAATTGAACTAAACGGTTTCAAATTGAGCTGGGCACTTAATATGAGTATAGTAGTGTAAGCAATTCAATGCACTTGATAAGCCTTCTGAAACACAATTTCATCACGGAAATGAAATAAGCTGTACGCTTTATATTGGTACACTACTGTAAACTATTCCATGCAAATGTTAAGTTAGACATGCCAACAACGGAAATGTAAAGTAATGAAAGATAGGTACATAATATGGGTAAAGCACTGTAAACAATTCTAGGAAATTGTAAGGTATGCAAAATTGACTTGAAATACAACGCCAATTCAGCAGAAAAGCCAATAAGTAGAGAGCTAACTGTTTGAAATTGAAGCAGGCACTTAATATAGACACAGCACTGTAAAGAAATCTATATAAATGGGAATCAGTGCTAAAAACTGTTTTATAACAGAAAATATGCGAACTTATAAAATTAATAAATTAAACTAGCGTAACGAAGTGCTTGACAAAGTTTATATGCTCACAATCAAATGTTAGAGCAAAACATTTATAAATTTAGTGCACGCAAAGTTACACAAAAACTTAACAAAAATAAAATTCAACAACATGCGCTAGAGAACCCAAGTGGGAGGGAGAGGCATGTATTTATATACATATGTTTGTACGCCTAACCTCCAAACACTAAAATAACAGTAGCGCGCGCGTCACTGGCATAATAAAACTGTAGCTAAAATTGATAATATACAAATACACACACACACACACCCAAACACGCACATACACACAAGTAATGTAAACCCAATTGGAATGCAATTAGATTAAGATATGTGAATGATTTCAAGGTTATTTCCAATTGTCCAGCTGACCGATAAGACCCCTGTTGACCCCACCCCGTCCCATCCTCTCAATCCCCCACCATTCAAATGCTCACCTAAACTGATTGCCGTCTTAAAATATTCGGGCGATACCAAACGTTTGTTCTTGCAATGTAACACATCTGACATTAACAAACTGCTACCACGGTTATGCACCGCAGGACATGGACAGGATTCCGACGGAGCAGCAGGAGCAACAGGCGCGGTTATAAAAACGTTGCCCCGCGACGACTGTGTCAAATGACTTGAGATGCCGAGCATCAACGGCATCGTGGAGCCTCTGGGACCACCATTTGATTGCACCTTTAGTTGGTCCTGCAGCAACTGTTGATCCTGCTGATGCTGCTGGCATTGAAATTGCAGATGGAAGACCGTTAACCAGAACCTTTTCATTTCGCCAAACTTCAGCTTATAGTCCAATTTGTAGCGGAAATCGCGAACATCTTCCTCCGTTAGGGCGAGCAACACCTGGCCGTCAATTTCCTCGATGCGCAAGCAAGTACGCATCTCATGGGAGAACTGCTCCTGACAGCTCCACTGCTGCACCTCATCCAAACTCCAATCAGCAATCAGTTTACTCTGCAGGTTGTTATTCAATTTTAACTCGTGGAAAGGAATTTCTGTTTGTGTCTCGGCTATGGCAACTTCTACTATCGCCGGCAAAGTTTGCGCCGCCTGCTGAGTCACTGACTCGCAACGAATTTCACCGTCAACATCGCACATTGTTTAGCTTTCTTTTCTCCCTCTCTCGATATTCCTTCTTTTTTGTTTAATGTTTTTTTTTTGGAGATTCAATAAATCTGGTAAAAGTTTGCAAATGGGTATCGCGACTGCAGCATTGTAAGCTTTGGCAGGTGTTGATCACGGTTCGGAGATTCAGCGACACATAATATAAAGTATAAACATTTATTGTTTAAAAAAATCACACATTCAATTTTTAGTTGCTCTCGAAATCCCAGCGACTGCTTGTTTTTCTTTTTCTTATACTGACTGTTAACAGAGCCATCTTAGCTGCTAAGCGATGCTGTTATGGGTTTCTGCACCCAACTTCACGTGGCTCAAATTTGCGCGCAGCCAACATTAAGTGACTGTTACTCAAAAATAAATACTGACATTCGCGCCAATGGATTTTTAAAATTACTTAACCGATGTTAGATAAATACAAGAAATTTTATTTATTTGGTGCTTTTTATTTACGCACTGCAGCAATCAAGTGGCAACTTCATGTTGCTGTTACCAAGCAAAACATCTTAAGTGCGCGCCAACCGGATTTTCAAATAATCGTTCGCATTAAACTTGACTTAATTAAAACCCAACTTCTCGTTTCCTCAATTCATCGCTGTTTTTTATTTTAATATAAAAATGGCATTTCTTTACTAATATTAAGTTTAAATTACTAATGTAAAGTATGTATGATCGCGGCAATTGAAAAATATATATGTGTGTATATCAAGTGAAAATTATTTATAATGAACATGAAACGCCTCAAGCAAGTGTATATACATATATATATACACAAATACATATACATATGTATGCAGCGTGTTCAAGTTTTACTTAAATGATAAATTGTCCATTTGTTGTTTAACATTTTTAAAGTAAATTAAAGTTTGCAAACGAATTACTTTAACTTTTTTAGGTTTTCATTACTTTGCAAAATGTACATCAAAGGAAGAAACAGATCAACAAAAAACGATTTCAAAAACATTTGAATATAAACTTATTTTCCATCTTTCTTTTATACAGTTTGCTGTTTCACTCGCTTAGGAAAATGATTATGCAAAAATAAACTATGAAAAAGTTATTTCATGAGTAGTTCTTCTTCTTCATCATCGTTTTCTTTTAGTTTTGTCATCTCATTTCTCATTGCTATTTCGAAATACAATATAGTTTTGATACCTTTTACAATTATGCCTTATATGCTATGTACCTAACATATATATTTTTTTGTTTTTTAGTTTTTCTTTTTGCATTATATATGTACGAAGCTACTGTTGAGGTTTCATTGAATTGTGTGTATATTGTTTTTTTTATATATTTTTGTTAGATGTGTTTGTTGCACCATTCGCAATGTGTTTTCTTTTATAGTTATTTTTGTTCCATACATACTATATAGATATTTGTCATTTTTATTTAGAATTTTCGTTATGTGAAAACGTAAATGTAACAAGTTTTTATTTGTGTTTTCTTTTGTTTTGTTTGTTTGCGGTTTGCTTTGCGTTTTAAGCTTTAAAGTATTACTTCCCTTTTGTTGATTTTCCAATTCAATGCTTTGTTTTGCTTTTTTTTTATATATGTAAATCTAGTTTTAAACTATAACTCTTTTTATATTTCAAAATATATAATAAACACAATGCAGTTTTTTATTTTGTTGTTTTTAAATGAGGGCTTCTATGTTGTTTTTATTTTCCTTTTAGCATTTGCTGTTGCTGTTGTTTGCGGCTGAAAAACCGTCACATAAGATCGTAGTGAGAATTTAGGCTGCCTTACGACAAATCTGAAAATATAATTGGTTGTTAGACATAGAAATAAATATATATTTGTTTATTGGTTTGTATATGTATATACGACTTACAGCTGGGCGCTGCCTCGTAACGACGCTGGATCTGATCGTATGTGAATTTGACAAAAGCATCGTATTGCTCAGCCAATTTAGCGGTTAGCACCGATTCGTAACGTTCGCGCAGTTGATCCTCACGCTCCTTGATCATGCCCTCGCATATTAGCTGCACCTGTTTGAATGTGAACAATGCTTTTTCGCCATGATGGCGCATCATCAAATGACTCGGCGGGCTATCCGGTCGATGCGGACTCTCTGGTCCCATTTCTGAGCCGCTCGATTCCGAGTCCTGCATACGCTCCAGTGCACTGGATGTAATGGGCAATTGTTTACGTTTGTGCAGTCTTTTGATTTCATTGCACAAATTCTCAGCCATTTTGTCTGCAAAAGTCATTCACATTTAAATAAAAGCGCAACCGAGTAATAGACGAGGGAATACTCACCTGGTGACATCTTGGATAAGGCAGACTCGGAGAATGGACTTGGTTCATTGCTGTCCTTAGCGAAGCGATTGCTGGGCGTTGTCGAGCTGTTGCTGCTGTTAGCTGCATCGTTGTTATTGTTGCTGTTGCCGCTACGTGAAGGCGAATTGCTGCCCGATTGTCCGAAAGGATTGCAGCGGCGACGTTTCGTGGGGCGCTGATTCAACGACTCCCAGTCCAAGGCGCGTTTAAGTGTTGCACATGCCATAGCTATGTTAACTCTCTTTTTCTATATATGTATATATGTATAAATATATTTTCAAATATATGGTAATTGCTTAGTTAATATAATATTTATTTTTATTATATTTTTGTTGCTTTTTATTGCCACACAGGTTTGTTGGAAGCGTTCGCTGCAAATGAAAAGGAGAGAAGAAAAAGAGAATATTATATGTTGTAGAAGCTAGAGAAGCAGCCAACTGAGACGAAATGAAATTCGAATAAATGTGAAACTGGTTTCAAGGAAAACAGGATTCACCTGACACACACACGCACACCACACACACGTACGCACAGTGAATAAAAGAAAATGGTGCAGCGATTTATGAGCTGGCAGCTGCTAGTGGTGCCGCTGCCTGCCTGCGAATAGAGCATTAAAAAGAAAACGAAGTAGCGATGCGCAATTAAAGGGAGTGTTCGCCATGCTACAGGCCACAGGCCACAAGCCGACAACAACAACTTTCCAACACTATTTCTACAACAACAACAAAAGCAATGCGTGCATAGCAATGCATACGCAAGGAGTCCAAGCGAGCAATGAAAACTAAACTGTAAAATACGCTGCGAGTCAACCACCAACACGCTCCCACAAGCAAACACTCTCACACGCATCGCACAACTACAACAATAGTAACGCGTATGCGTATCCTTTGAGCTGTACCAGCTGTTTTTACAAAGCAACGCTCTGTGTCACAACTACTACTACCACGCACACATGTACGCACGCATACACTTTAGCTGTTAATGAACCCAAATAACATGTGTATGTGTGTGCATGTGTGTAGCTTGCGAGTTTTGCCTGCTGCCGTCATTTACAGTATTTTAAAGATTTTTTAATAATAAATGATTAGTGCTTTTTTACGTGACGAACGCCATGCCAAAATGAAAAAAAAGATTCGTTTCAAAGAAAATAAAATGACAGCAGCTTATGCGCTCAATGGTTGTCTCGCTCTCTCGCGCGCACACACACACTTGCAGCTGCGAGTTGGAATTTTGATTTCGTGAAATTTTTAAAAATGGTCGCAGCAACGCATATCATTATCAAAAGCACTTTAGATACCAATTATTGAAACATACAATAACTTGGATTTACATTTGTTCATACACAATTGCACTTACATTGATTTATATTTGCTTCCGCTACAATTTCTGCACCACTTCACACGCGTTTTATTTACTTTTTTTTGTACATACGCGCACGAACGTTTCACAGTTGCAGTTGAATTGTAAAACTAATTTATATTGCTATTGCTTATTGAGTTGAGCAGTATTTTAAAGGCCACTGAAATGCACTGCGCTACGGTTTCAAAATTCTTATAATAGATATGATTTGTGAAATTTCTGTCTTTTTGCGATGTAATTTTCAGTTTTTTGTCGAACTCTTACGAAAAATGGACGACCAATGCATGCGTGACGACGATTCGTGAACAGAGAGGCGAGCAATGGCAGAACGATAACTTCCACGCCGTTATCACAGATGCAGCCCTGTAATCGACGCCGCAAACAATCGATTGACTTCATTTTTTAAGTTTGATATGCAGCTCTCGGGTGTAACAAAATTTTTGGAGCTTGAAATTAAATATCAGATCTCTTAAAAGATATTGGCTAATTAAATATACTATATATTTAGTATCTAAATATAGTTATTTAAACCATAAATGTTTTTAATATATGGAATGATACTATTATTTATTAAATCAGACTAAATCCAATTGTATTGAGAGAAGAATTATGATCAATTTAGGTAGTCAGTATTTTTTGTTTTATAATAAGTATTTTTAACCTATCCCTGTTGGGTAACACTGTTTCGAACGACAAAAGTAGACATAAAAAGGCAGAGTTTGACGTGAATTTGTGCAATTAATATTTTTACACTTTTATAATAAACATTTTTTATACGCTTGTCCAACGAATTTACATCGTTTGTCATCGCTTAGCCCAGTGCGTGTAATAATAATAAATAACATTACGTATCCACGGTAGGGGCCAGAAGCAAGCAAATCATAAAGCAAAGCAAAGAAAGAAAGTTCTAAAAATATTTTTTATCGTCGTGAAAGTCGCATATTTTATAAAGCTTTAAATTAAAGACCAAACAGCGCATACTTAATTGCAAAAATGGTATTGAAAGTGTACGTTAGCGGTATGTCCGGCAACAAGGAGGTGAGTATTGCAGTTTCCTTGTGGGCGGGGCAGCTGAAGAGCAAGCACACATAATGACAAATGCACATATATATGCGTGCGTGCGTATTTATATGTGTGATTGAATAGTAGGAGTCAGTGTCATGTTATTGGAATGCCTGCCTAGCAGTGTGATAGATAAAAAAAATGAACTACCGTATTGCACATTCTATTTTATGCACTGCACATCTCTTGTTTGTTTGCGCTTGAGAGTGTGTTTGTATATGTATGAGTGTGTGTGAGTGAAAGATGATGTAGTATGTACGTACAGTCGAAACGTCATCTCTCTAGCGTTCGCCCTCTTCGAACAAAACAGAACAGCAAGTGGGTATTTTGATTGGCGTGTGCAAGTGTATGAGTGTATGTTTAGATGGTGGTGGCAAGAAGCAGCACAATGACCGCAAACATTTCCATATAAGCTTTTTTTTACTGTGAAGCGTAAAAGAATTCAATGATTACAGTTTTTCATGCGTGGGTACGGCATTGTTAGTGTGTGTGTGCATGATTCATATATGTGACTCTTTTTTGCTCGCCTCATCTTTGTGTTTGATTCGCGCATTTAAACAACGACCATTGTGCAAAAATGACAACGGGTGTGTGCGCTGAAGATGGGTGTGAGGGAGAACGAAGCTTTATGTGCCGTTGTTTATTGTTTGTAGACTTGAGAGACGTGTCAGCGTCAAAAATATAGTATGAAGACATATTTATATGAGTGTGTAAGTGAGAAGACAATAAATAAAAACAACTTCTTATCAAGAGTAAATTACAAGAATGGAGAGATAAGTGCGAGTGCGAGATAGGTTATGTGTTTGTGTGTATGTGGCTGTAGGCTTGCCGGCAATTGAAAACCAGGGGTGCAGACTTTTTAAATTTGCATTTTAACTAAATATTATATATTACTCTTTTTTATTAGGTGAAGAAGCGCCAACAGCGCGTTTTGATGATCCTGGATAGCAAGAACATTCAGTACGATACTGTTGACATTACAGAGCCCGGCAAGGAGAGCGAAAAGGAATTGATGCAAAACAAATCAACTAGTAGTGGCGGCACAGTCAGCGATCCAGAGCCTAGGCATCCATTGCCACCGCAAATCTTCAACGACGCCGAATATTGCGGCGACTACGATGCCTTCGATATGGCCAATGAAATTGATACGCTGGAGGTGTTCCTTAAGCTGGCACCTGCTGATACAACAGCCGTGAGCAGTGCTCAAATCGAACTGAAGCAGGAAAACGGTGTGGCCAAAGAGGGCGAAAAACCCGAAGAGGAGGAAAAGAAAGCGCCAGCGGAAGGCGATGGGGATAATGAGAAGGCAGAGGTTTGAAAGCTTTGAGCAAATTGTACTTTTCTGTTTTACTGTTATGAAGCGACAACAACTACAACAACAACAAGCCTGCACAGAAGCAACAAAAATGACAACAATAACAAAATTAACATTAACATCAAGCAACATCATTTAATTACTAACGCAATGCAATTAGCAAAGCCAGCCAGCTATGTTAACAGTAGCAACAATAACATAACACTGTAACCTAACAGCATTTCAGCAATTTCGGCGGCAGAAAACAATTTTTAGCAAATGAGCTTCTATTACCACGACTGCGGTTCTTTAAGTTAAGCTACTATCATTATATGTATATTTATACATACATATTTATGACATGCATACTGCAAGACATTACAACTTTTAATCAAAAAAAAAACATTTAAAGAAAACATAATTTATTTATAATAATACACTCACACACTAGTATGTATATGTAACAAGATTTGTATTGATAACATTTTGTTAACACACACTCGAAATAATGATGCAAATTTCAGTTGCAGATTGATTTAATACTAAATTTCAATTGAGTGTATTACAACTAAAATATCTGTACGATTTGTGCGGCTGAGTTATGTTAATGCGAAAACATAAAAATCCGCTGAATATATAAGTACATACTTAATAAAAAAAGCAAACAAAATATATTTGTATTTACTAAAACACCAATAAGCTTTTATTATACTAAAACGAGCAGCAAAAGTCAGCGCTTAACAGTTGTTTAACATGGCATGTTAAATAACAGCGAAAGATAAGAATTGAATTGTAATGTTAAAACTTTGAACTCGTCACTTTTCACACGCAAAAGGCAGAAGATGGCGAGCAAACGAATGAGGATAAGGAGAAAACAAATAAAGATGGCGACGAAGAAGATAAAAAGGAAGAGAGTAGTGAAGAAAAGGTAAAACGTGAATGTTGTATGATGCTTGCATGTAAAAACAGTAGAAACAGTTAACAGTACACAAAGTTAACAGCCGTCAAGCTCAACAGTAGCTGCAATCGAGCTGCTAATCCAGCATGTTAATGCAAGCAAAGTTAAGCTGAGTAGCTGTTAGAATAGTATTAGCGAATCCTTAATGATATTTGTAAATATATTTTCCTATTTATACCATCCTATACCATATCCCCACTTCAACAACAACTATACAAAACACTCACATTTGAATGCAATCCACCATATCCGAAATTTTAAACACCACTCAGACTGAAACCGAAGCCGAAGCCGAAGCTAAAGAAGGTAACGACGAATTAGAATCAAAAAAAGAGGAGGAAGCAACAGGTAAAATAAAGGATGCAACGCGTTTTAACTATTTTAACATTCCCTTAATGCCAAAAGCAGACGAAACAGAAGATGAGCAGAAGGAGAAAAAGACGGAGGAAGACGATAAGAAAGAGGATGAGGTTGAGAGTGAGGGTGAAGGTAAGAAAACGGAAGAAACGGCAGATAAATCAGAAGATGCGGAAGATGCTGAAGGCGAGACAAAGGAAGAGTCGAAAGAAGAAAAAGAAGACGAAACAAAAGATCAAATAGAAGAGGAGTTGGAAGACGCAACAGAAGAGAAAACAGAAGAGGAGAAGCCGGAAGATGAAGCAAAAGAAAAAACAGAAGAAAAGTCGGAAGGCGAAACTAAAGAGAAAACAGAAGAAATTGAAAAAGATAAAGAAACCAAAGAGAAATCAAGTGAGGATTCGCATGTAGAGAAAGAAACGGCAGAAGTCTCCTCAGCAGAGGAAAAGCAAGAAGAGAAAGAAAACGTCGAAGAGACAGTGCAGTCAGAAACCGAGGAAAGTGCAGAAAAGAAAGCTGCCGAAAATTCTGAAGACGCCGAAGGCGAATCTGACGAAAAGGAAGAAGACAAGGGAAAAACAGAAGAAGTAAAAGCAGAGACTGCCGATGATACTAAAGAAGAAGACACAAACGCAGGTGAAACCAAAACAGAAGAGAAAACAGATGATAATGATGTGAAGAAAGAGGAAGAACAAAACGAAGAGGAGAAGAAAGTAGAAGTAGAAAAAGAAGCTAAAGAAAATACCGACGATAATGAAGAAGATAAAGCAAAAACAAATCAGGATGAAGAAGAAACTAAAGAGGACTCCGAAAAGAAAGAAATAGAAGCCAAAGAGAATAAAGAAGAGGAAGAGTCAACGGTGGAACAAAAAGAAAGTGAAGCAGTAACAGAAGAAAAGAAGGAGACCACTTCTGATACAGAAGAAAAAACTTCTGCTGAAGATGAAAGCAAAGAAGAGTAAAGCAATTCGTGCATAAGCGGCCAATCAACTGACACGAACCACAACGAACGAACGAAATGAACTGGCACAAACATACACACCAAATGAACAACAGCACTCACTTGAAATGAACCACTATCGCATCCGCATCTGTAGTCCATTACTTAGAGCACACACATACACACACGCCCATAAGCACATTATGAACATGTATTGTAAATAAGCATAAATGAAAAAAATATATTACTAATAATAATAAAGCTGGTGAAGGGTAATGCAAAAAAATAGTTAAGTAACAAACAGCTTTAAATACACGAATTTTCTAAATTTCTCCCACAGACAGCGACAACGGCAGAAGCAGCCGCAGTGCCTGCTGCAGTTGTTCCAGTTCCAGCGCCAGCCGAATCGAACAGCTCTTCGGCTCAGCTTTTGGAACGAGAGCGCGAAGCTGCGGCGCAATAAACAAAATTCAAATTCTCAACTTGCCCTTATATTTTATATTATATTTTCCACTTATTAGAATGTCAATAAAAAAATCGTTTCACAATTTTTTTCTGTTTCTTTGCTAAGCTGAAAATTAAGATAATTTTTTAAATACTTTATTTTGAAAATTTTTAGATACTAAATTCCATTCATTGAAATTTCAATTTCAATAAAAAACGCTGTCCACATTTTTCTGCACTTTTTTGTCTTTCTTTTTGTATCCAAATAATTAAATATACAGTACATTTATAATTATGTTTAGTACAGAGACATTAAAATGAAGTTATTTATGTTTTTACTTATTTATTTACGCTCTAGTTTCGGGCTCTTTATCCATGTTTCATTTTTTTTAAATTACAAAAACTAGTTAAAAAATATGCGAATTAATTTCGCAACTCAAAAGCATTTACTAATTATAAAAAAGTTTTGGGAAAGGAAAACAAAATCAAAATATTTTGAGGATAAAGGAGAATGGATGAGTTGAAGAAGGAGCTGAAGTAGATTCATGTCATGAGCAATTCTCGGTAGCTCTTCCACTTTCTCTTCATTGATTAATCGTTGATTGTTGAGTCTAATCGCTATTCGCGGATTAGATTGAGGTGAATGAGTTGAAGTAGCTGCAGAAGATTCGTGTCATGATCAACTCTCTCGCTAACTCTCTCTCTCTCTCTTTTGCTTGATTGTTGTCTAATCGCTATTCTCTTCATCGGATGTATCTGTTGTGTAATCGCTTAGATTCTCTTGCTGATCATTGTGCTCCGGCTCCGATTCGCTCAAATCCCATTGTGGATGATCTGTGGGTGGTGCGGGCGCCTTTTGCACATCAAGTTTCAGTTCCTGCTGCTGATCCATGCCCAGATACGAGTCTAACAAATAATAATAGAGATTTGTGTTAGGTTAGGATACGAACTATATGGATATAGGGCCAACTTACCCGATCGCAGGCAAACTGTAAAAGTGTAGACGCCTGGCCAACGAGGCGCTGTAAACTTTAGCTGTATCTCCTCCTTCTCGACGAGATTTGTGACATGGTAGGGCGCTGTGAGTAGGGTGCGCGACTTACGATCGCATATGTAGGTCCACCAGTACTCCTGCTTCTCTTCCGGAAAGAATGGACAGTGCACTGTGTGCGACATACGTGATTTGCCCTCAAGGCGTTCACGTTTATTCAGCTTCGCCTGCAGCCTTTCCCATTCCTCGTCATCGTCGTCATCTAGCGAGGAATTATTTTTGTTTTGCTTATCCTCATCTTCGCTGCCAGAGCCTATAGATTCCACATCGCTGTGCTCTCCGGCATCCGACTCGGCTTCCGAATTGGCTGCCGTTTGCTCATCCGTTGTGGATACAGTGGTAACAGCAGCTGCTGTGGCTGCTGGCTTAGGCTGCGCCTTCTTCTTCTGATTGTTGGCCGGTTTTTTGCCACCTTTGCCTTTGCCGCCCTTACGCGACTTCGACCAAGCAGAAGCTTTCTTCACGGGCACAACAGCAGCAGCTGCTTCATCGTCATCGCCAGCTGCCTCCTCATTGGCGTCGTCCTTAATGCCCTGTTTCTCGGGCACCTTCGTGTCGCCAAACAGCGTCTTCATATCCTTTCGCTCCAGCGTCACTGTAACTGTTACAATGGCACCCGCCGTAACCACATTAGTGTTCTCATCGTCGATCACCTCGCAGCGTATGGAGAAGTCAATCAATGGCATCTTGCCCAGCACTCGCATAATATTCTCATATTCAAAGTCTGAGAGGTTCTTGAGTAGCATGCGACTCTCCTCTGGCTTCAACTGGGCAAACTGTTGCAGATTCTTTACATGGCGCTTCTTGTTCATGAAATACAAATGGTCCTCAGTTAAGTGGGGCAACTGCAGCAGCGGTGACTTGAACTCCCAGAGGCCTTGAATGATAATCGGGGACATCTTCATGCAGTTCTCGATGGTCTCGATGCTAGGCAGACGGGGCACACGTCGCGCATAGGCCATCATGACCAGTTGATGCACACAGCTGACCATCTCCTGCACCAGATACGGACACTTCTTCACAATGAACTGACGGTCACGTTCCAGTGTCTCCGGATTTAGCGGAATACGTGACAGATGCGCGTGCAGTATGGCACGCGCCTTAATGGAGTACATGCGACATAATGGATGTTCTTTGCATTTCTCATTCAGATTAGGCAGCTGCCTAATCAGCTGTAAAAGAAAAGGAAATAGTAAACAAATAAATAATTTATAAATAATAAATAGTTAACAAATAAATAATTTATAAAAGTTAAAAATTGCTGCTGTTACCAACAGTCACATAGCAGCAGTTAACTTAACAGTCGCTGCTACTTTCGGTTACTGTTAACAGTCAACGTGTGACATTACTGTTCTGAGAGACGCGTAACAGCTCTGTTAGTTAGCTTACAGCTCTTTATCAGTTATAAAAACTAGGGTTGTTAATACGTACCGCTGGTACCTCATCGTTGTCCGACTGACGTTCGATCACCTGCGAGTTATGTCGCTTATCAAACTCCAGACTGGCTGCGAGCACCATCAGAGCGCGCTTCAGCAGCATGTGCGGCGTTTTGTGTATAAAATAGAAATACATTTGTGAAGTGTCCAATAAGACTTTATCGCCACTGAAGCGTATGGAGCGATACCACCAGACTCCCACAGCGGAGGGCATGGCCACCATGAAGACCAAACCATATAGACCCAAGACCCAAACGCTATTCTCCTTCTCAACGATCCATGAGGGCAACGCAATACCAAAGGACATGGCGCCCGGACCATCGGGATTGCCATATTTCTCATAGTTTTCCTTGGCCACATCATCGGTGAGCGCTTGATACGCTTTACTAAGCATCATAAATGACTTTTCATCACCCGTTTCCTTATCCGGATGCAACACCTTAGAAAGTTTATAGTAGGCTTTCTTGATCTCCGCCTGTGATGCTGTAGGCGGCACATTCAATATCTCAAACGGATCAAAGCTCGCCATCTCGTAATCGAACTGTGAGACGCGATACGTAAGGAACAGCAGCAGTGCCCAGCCAAGCACAATAGAGAGCTTAATGACAACAGATTTTAGTGTGCGATAAGGCTCGGCATTTGCCAATATTATCTTCTTCTTTAAGCAATCGGGACATTGGCATTCCTCTTTCAGTTTGCTAAGATCTGTGCGAAAAAGGGTGCATAAATTAGAATCCCATGCGGTAAGAGTGAGATGGCAGCCAAAACTGAGATCGCGACTCACGAGAGAGCGTTGCTGCATGTGCTCTCTTTCTCTATTGCTGTATTGTCTCTCTTTAAAGTGTAAGACGTGTGTATGCATGTGTGTGTTCCATTTTGTGAAGTGAGCTGGCTTAAGCTGTTGTTATTGTAGCTTTCACCAACACGCAGACAACGTTAAGCGCCCATTGGACAGCACTGTTAGAATAACTTAATGGAACGTGTCCATTTGCAACACTTGTCCATACATACAAATACAAACACATATGCATAAATATATATATATATATACTCACAAACATAGACTTAAAGAGAGAGCTGCAATCTGATTACAATCAGCAGTACTAACCTTCTTTCTTTTTACGTGGCCAATAGTAAATTGTTGTTGGTATTAAAACCAGAGCCAAAAACGATAACACAAAGTAATAAAATGTTCCGCCACTCTCATCATATTGAAACTTTTGACCCGCCATTGAAAAAGTAGCGCCGGTCTTCTAATTATTTACAAAAAGCAGCGCAGTTTCCTCTTCTCTCAGGGGTTTGGGTTTTGGTGTGGTCGCCTTTTTTTCCAAATGGGCCCCCAGCTGATGCTTTGGCACGCTGGCAGTTCGTAACTGCGCGCCTCTCTGGTATTTGAGCAAATACGCAGGATCCCAATAATGGGGATGTTCACGGATAATCTTAATTAAAATACACAGCGCTTAATTGCACCAATTAAATGCCGCGAATTTAAAAAACTTATGTATTTACAGCAGTCGTCAATTGACACGTCTGTACAGTGTGGCCGTGCCAGATTGCATTGGTAATGCCGCAATCAGTGTTACCGTTCTAAGCAGATCTTAAGCTAGCACAAAACTGCAACAGTCGATTTGGTTAAACTGCGCGTATTCGGAATTTAAATGGATACTTAGTTGGCTATTTGATGTCTACGTTTGTTATGCAAATCAGCCTATGTGTCCTTTTTAATTTAGGCTGAGAATTTATAGCCAAAAATTTGTATAAATTTTATCTGTGATAGTAATGTATGTTTTTACTTGTTTTTATTATTAAAAATGTGTTGCCAAAAACAATAGGCATTTTCCTGCAATACGGTCACACACAATTTTAGTATTTTAATATATCGAATATAGTATCGTCATATGTAATAAATTACTTGGGGATATCGGAGCACCTTTAAATTTCAGACCACCCCAAGAATTTGATTATCACATCGCTAACAGAATAGTTAGCGCGTTGAACGCGCAATGAGTAAAATTTTGTTCGCATCCGAGAGAATTTTTTAATTCAAATTGCTGATTTTAGTAGTTTTATAAACAAAACGGTGCATGGATAACAGATGGTGTAAAATTTAAAAACGTCAGTGAAAAAGTACTGCAGAGTAAAACATTAAAAAAATATAAAAGGAAAAAGAAAAGATAAAGAGAAGCAAGGTGCCAAAGAAGAAAACCAGTTATGTATGTCGAATTGAAGTATTTCCATTTTGCTGGGCAAAAAAGAAACATTTTTATTGCAAAAAAATGTTAAATGAAAGTGATGTGTGCGAGTGTTTTAACGCTTACTAATTATATGGGCACAGCAGTAGCAAGTGAAAAGTGACAATAAAAGCCAAGTTTATATCCAGACAAGGTTACATTTTCCATGACAACTTCCAAAACGAGAGTCAAAACCCCCCTCCAAAAGCCGATTTCCAGTGAATTTCTTGAGAAAACTAAAAGTAAGTACAAGCCAAGTATACATACTTATTAATGCATGTGCAGTCTTTAAAAATATGTATGTGCAAGTGCGTGTGCGTGTGTGAATATGTGTATGTGGGTTTTTGGCGTCGTCTTTGCAGTCAAAGAGGCGGCGGCCGCCTTTACGAAGGTTTGTATGTGTAAGTGAATATGTGCGAAAAGCAGGTAGAAGAGCTAGATAAATAAGACTCTCAAGGGCAGCTAAGAAATTATACGTGTGATTTGTTCTTGTGTAAAACAACATGAAAAAAACAAATAAATACAATGCTCGCCTTCCTTCTCTTTCGTTTGCTCTCTGTTGCAGGTGGTTTAGATATTTGCTTTGCCAAATATTTGTTGCTAATTTTGGCTAATGTTGCGCTAATTTTAATTTTGTTATATTTGACAAATTGATATATATATATATATATATTATTTTGTTTTATGTAATTGTCAAATTTGAAATCTGCGTTAAGAGTGAAAAATCGATAAATCAGCGCCGCTGCAGCTGTTGGGCAATGCGTGGGCCATGGAGCCCAACTACGTGTAATTGGGGTAGGAAATACATGCACATGCATACACACACATTCAGAGTTTTATATGTATGTATGTGTGTAACAAATAATCCGCTTAATGTAAAACGCCAACGATGCTCAAACTGTTTTTTTTTTGGCGGCTGCACCACAACCTCTCTTACACACTAACAAACATTTGAATACACGCATGCTTTTATGCATTTGTGCAAATAAGAAAAATCAATAAAACTGCTTGTGCTAGAAGAGAGCTGTTAATAAATAAAGCGCCGAAAGCAAAAGTCAGCCTAACAAACAGTTAAATTTGTACACATGTTATTAACCTAATTACAATATGGCAGACAGATGTAGCGGGATTAAAGAGCAAGTCAGCGTAAAAAGAAGGGGAGTGAGATAGAGGGAGAGAGAGAGAGAGCTATGACTAGTGAATATATTAAGAAAGAGCAGAAGAAAAGAACAGTCTGCTGAATTCGGAATAGAATAAAAGTTTCGTGAGTCATGCGGCGATTTAACCACATTTCAAATTAAGTGACTTGAAATGTTAAAATTAAACACAAACATTTTTTTCGCACGCTGCGTGAATTATTGGAATTGGAAGTGAGCGTGGGGGTATTTTGAGTTGGCCAAACGTCAAGTGGATTTCGTATGCGTCAGCGCTGAAGCCGCAAAACTGCACTTCTTATCGCCCTTAAGTAGAACGAAAATAAAATACGACAACAATTAAAGAGTTTTCCCGGCTTTCACCCAAATTTTGCAACAACTGTTGAATTTCTGCCTGTGATATCATTTTTTCGTTGATTGTTTCAATTAAAGTGTTGCCAAACAGAAAAATTCTCTAGAAAGCATGTGTGAAAAATAGTTCTATTTATATATCTATATTTAACTTATCTTATTCTCTTTTATTTTGCTATTTTCTGTTGAATTTCCGCTAATCGATCAAATACTTACATATATCGCATGCAATATTTTCTTTTGCGATACCATTTAACAGGCAGCCGGCGCCTATCACGCAAGCAACCCAAGAAACAATTCCAAAACGCGTGCTTAAAGTGTCAGACGCATTTAGTTACTTATCGTACATCGCCAAACATGTAGAAGGAGGCATTGTCACTATCAGTGAAAAAGAGATGAGCAATGTGTATCGATATGCGGAGTGTGATTCATTGCAAGTTTCAAATAACTACAAAAACAATTTGTTTGTTTATTCGGTTTTGTTATGCATGTTTGATACTTAATCGAGTATTCACGCGCTCATCTCAAAATGCTGACCTAGAATTGTTGTCACCCATTTCGTTTCGATTCTTCGTCTCTCTCTCGCACAATGTCGTTCACTTATTTAATTGTCACGTTCTGTAGACTTCGCTTCTGTAGCTGCCAAAGAAATGACGCCATATTGCGTGCCACACTCTCAATAATCACACTTGTGTGTGACTGTATGCGTGTGAATGGATTGCTAAAGGGCAAGTGCACAAACAGCTGACATTTGACAAAAGAAAATAGCTGTCATAATAAGTTGGGCATATGTTTTTGTACCGTTAGCTGACACTCATTCTCCAAATCTCAGAGTGTATGTGCGCGCGGGCAGCTAATGCAAAACATATTGTTTCAGCTTATTTAATCAACAAAATATGCATATTGGAAATTTGTAGATTACGTCGACTTAAACAGATGTGTGGGTGGGTATTGTATCTAATATGAATTTAGGCATTAATGCCATACAATTGTGTGTGTTTCACAATATTTGTGTGTATATGTACGGAATTTGTATAAGTACAGAATTTGAGTGTACTGTTATATCAGCATAAAGCTCGGAATTGTCAGAAAAGTTTTCAGCATTTCTGCACATGTTTACATACATTTATATTAAAATTTTCATTAAAGAAGTAGCGCTAAGCGTAAAAAATTTTATTCGTAAAATGTACTCTTTGAACTCGAAATTAATTTCGAAGAGACAGCTAGTGAGAGTGAGAGATTAGTTTTTGGTCTCTGTTTATTCGTATTGAAATGACGGTTTTTTTTATGTTTGCCTCTCTGTTTGTGTGTGTGAAAGTGAGTCAAATGCGTTTGGACATACGTTGCAGTCGCTCTGCTTTGCTCTGTCTTGTAGTTGATTTAACATTTGTTTTGTCTTATCAGCACTCTCGCTCTCTTCTGTTATTTTTTTCTTTCGAACTTCATGTTTTGTGCCCAGTAGAGCTTAGGTCATTTTTAGCGTCTACTTTTTCATTATATAAAAGTTTTTGATTATTTCAATTAATTTATATATTTATTGCCAAAGCATTCGCTGCGTAACGTAAATTGTTTACCCTTTCGCGTAGATAATTAATTATTTTTAATTAATTTATCACACTGGGATATCATCGATGTCTTGGGCCATTTAAAACTTAATTAGTTTAATGGCATACGTTGCAAATTAATTTGAATTGTTGCCGTATACTTCGCTTCTCTCTCTCTTTCTCTCTCTCATTTACACACGCCCTAATTGTTTACAGATTAGTTTCAACTGGGTGTGGCACAAGCGGCGGGTGTTAACAATTAGACAGCAGTAAAACGTAGAAGGAAAATGCCAGCTGCGTCCAGTGTGGCCGCTTGGCAAAATTGTCACGCAACCTGGGAACACCCGGTCCGATCTCCGCGCTCAGCTCATCACGTACCCACCACAACTGATGCTAATCAGCCACGAATTACGCTATTTTTGGGCACGTTTTGTGCGTGGAATGCGTAGGTGAAGCTATTTTATGCTTTTTATGGCAAAGATTTATATTTGGCACATATTTGTGGCTTAGCTACTTATTTGCCGAAGTTGTAAATACTTGTGAACTAATATGCGTGGGTCTCTTCCTCTCTGTCCTTGACTGTGGTCAGTTTATCAGCGTGTTGAGTATATGGGCATAAGTCTCCCATTCCCAATTGGACTCAATTGAGCGTCTCATTATGCAAGATCGTAAAAAATCTACGGGGGTAACGGCACATCAATCATTTATATCGGCAATTTCAAGCACATAAATCAAGCTAGAAAAACCAATTAGACCAATCAAAATATACAAAAAAAACTTCATATTTGTAATAACAGTTAAATGTATGTACATACATATATCTTTATTATCAATTTATGTGCATCAAATTTGATTTATGCGAGTCCAAAAAGGCATATGAATTGCCAAGAACCACAACAAAGTAAAAACAATAATAATAATAAATTCAAATAACCTTCAACACCTTTAAAATTTGCGCAATGCCTGAAATCGGCGAATTTTGACGAAAATCAATTTTCAATTTGCATGTGCGATTTCTTTGAAGTGTTTCTCGCGTGCAAATTTATGCTAATTCAGCAAAAACGAAAGAAAAAACCTTAGATGCTGAATGAAGCGACGTGGTGGGTCGCCGCGGGCAAGTGCAGAAAATGAGTACAGAAAGGAATTGCAAAATGACTCTTCAACAAATTTGTATTTTGACTTGCTCGTATTCGAGCTGAAGAACTAAAGTACGAACTGCATGACGCAGCATATAAGGTTGTGAAGTTAAAGAGAGACATGAGATAGAGTGTCTAGCAAAGTCCTTATATGTTTGGCAGCGTGTAAGAAAGAGAAAGTTAAAAACTAAATGCACGCAGTTCATTTAACATTAGCTTCAGGGAACGATTGAATGAATGCGTTTACAGTGTTTGTAAACATACAAGTTGACCTGCTTATGCAAATCACATAAACTATGCCGATTTCATCCGCTGACGAATCGTCATTTGATACACACTAAGTTTACATGTTGTTTATAAACTTCAGCTATTAAAAAAGGCAAAGACTGATGTGTCGCCCATCAATAAAAGGCCACTAAATAAATCCATTTGAAGCGGTGGTGGCGTTGCGACGATGACTCTTTGGTCATTTACCTATCGGTATCGCTGCGTAAGCTGCCAAAAAACCTTCTGCCACCAACCTGAGCGAATCAAGATTAATTGTTTATGGCTAAATTTTCGCTTGTTCTTTGTTGTTGTTGTCGCAGTGGGGCGTGTGCTGCTGGCATTGGCCAGCTGGCTTAGCTGGCCATTAAAAACGTGTCGAACGGGCGGCGGGTATAAAATTTTCTTTTTCTGTGCCACTTTGCATATGATTCACGCGACTTTTCTTGTATCATTTCCTTTTTGCATATGTTCTTTGCGCCTAACTGTTACTCGTGTGCTTCGTCTCACTCGCTTGCTCGGTCGTGACTTTCTTTCTTGCTTTCAGCTCTCGCCTTAAGACAGCTTAAGTTTTGACAAATTAGACGTGGAAATTTGTCAACCTGATTGGCCATGTATGTGTGTGTGCTTGTCGCTTCGCACATCATTTTGGATTGTACAATTGCGCGGCTTACAACATAATTTGCCAAATGTGATTAGCAAATTATATGGACATGGAGGCGGGTTTTTGGAGTCGGCCGCTCGCTCGCTCGCTTTCAATTCAACGCTTCGTTTAACTGAGCCAAAT